AGATATTCTGAGAATCTTTCTTTAGCATTTCAGCTCAAAAGCCCCTATTCTCTTTCTTAAGACAGATAGTCATATAGGACAGTTATATAAGAGCACCACAAAATGTATGTGACGTAATCTGTAATTCCGTGTGGCTGGACTTTTAGATTTGAGTCTGTTGCAATCCCGATATGAGCATGCTTAAACAGGTTAGTTGCATATCCTTTACAGGACATTGTAGAACCAACCCCAACAGCCCCTGGCTGTTGTGTGGTTTTTCTAGGCAAATTTACGTCCAGTAGTTTGCAATTGCTTACTGGATGGTCGGCTCTCTTGATACCAGTCAAAACCAACGCAAGGCGCTTGGCTTGCAGCTGGGATCAAGCCTGGCATCCCGGGATTACAAAGCGTTCGCATCGACTTAGCCACAAAGCCGATATGCTTAATTAAACAACTATGTCAAACAAAAGAGAACAAGTCAGCGTACCTGTGGGTGACAAAGTCCAGCAAGGACAAAGATGCCAACCAACATGACAATGACAACAACACTGGGATGCAGGATGTCCTCCGTGGTGGCCGTGATGATGGTTCCCACCAAGACTATCATCATGATGAAGCTGTAGAGAATGCTCAAAATTCCCGCCAAGATGAGCTGTACATTGGATTTGAACCAGAAGCAGGCGATGACGAAGACGATGGCGGGGACGGTGGAGAAGACATATGCATCTATGAGTGAGAAGTTGAACACAAGCTTGACAGCACCTGAAACAGAGGGATGGTTTGAGGGGACAGGTGTCAGGTAGTCATATATTTGCAGCTGTGGTTTGCTTGGCTACGAGGTGCTGATAAAGCAGCGACAATTTCTTTCACTCCGTATTCAACAAAATAATCTTTCTTTTCACCTTTCTCATGATGCTGCTGCTGCTTATCATCGTCACTATTATTGCCTTCTTAGCTAAATATAAAGAAGAAAGAGAATAAGAAAGAAGGAGAAGAAGGAAAAAAAGAAGAAGTAGAAAAAGAAAAGGAAAATGCAGAAGAAGAAGAAGAAGAAGAAGAAGAAGAAGAAGAAGAAGAAGAAGAAGAAGAAGAAGAAGAAGAAGAAGAAATAGAAGAAAGAAGAAGAACAAAGAAGAAAAAGAAAATAAAGAAGGAGCTATAGATGGTAGAATGGAAGAAGATAGACTGCAGATTATGAAAAAAAGTAAAAGAACAAGATAATAGCCTGCCATTATAGCACAGAGTAAAACAAATCTAAGAAATAGAATATTCAGAATGCAAAGAAACATTTTCACCGGCATCAAATGGAAAGGTGTAACATAAAAATGACACACTAACGCAAACAGTAAGCTAAAAACACACAGACGGTATAAAAGGTAAAAGACAATTATGCGTGCCTTTAAGTGTACTGGGCATATAGTGCTAGAGCAGCGGTTCTCAACCTGTGGGTCGTGACCTTTTTGGAAGTCGAACGACCCTTTCAATAAGGTCGTGGGGACCCATGACCCTTGATCCGCAGGTGAACGCCTGGCCACTACACTACAACGGCTCCTAGGAGAGGTTGTAAAAAAATCAATAATTGGTGGCCCAACACTGGCATTTCAGCATGCAGAAATGCCAGTACAGGCTCAGTCTCCCTCAGATGATGTAAAAGAATATAAAAAGCCAGGTTGCTAACTAGACTTTTGCAAATCAACCCTGACTTATTCTAAGTTCTCTACTACTTCTTCTTCCCCTTTTGATCACTCAACGGAGTCTAGGAACTCAACCAGTTTGGCCAAAGTAGAGTTTGTTGCTAAAGAATCCAGCTTACTGAGGGCCTTCTTCATTTTGTTTCTTTTATTTCTAATATTCTGAGGACTCCAGTGCAAAAACATTATTGAATTTATATTATTACTAAGCTTTCTCAGTGTGTGACTATCCAACTTCAACATCTTTTCCTCACCTCACGATTTAGAAAGAATATTTGTGTCATCTCTAAAATAGGACGTTAGCTGCAATGTATTCTCTAACTATGGGAATATTATGTTATAAGGGCTTCATGTCTCCCATCATGCAACTCAGGCACCGTTGTCTGAAAGACACAAGACTGACTGAGCTATGTTTGAAGTTAGATAATACTGGTAACAAAACTGGTTTATAATTTCATTGGTAAAAGGAAACAGGGGAAACTACCATAATTTGTGTCCCAAGAAAATCTTTATGGAAGCCCAATACAAAAACTGCCATTTTGAAATATCTGAGCATCATGGAAAGGTACAGTTAAAAGTAAAGTTGGTAGGATCGTCTTCATTGCACCAGGTTGTATCGCACATTTTATCCCTTGGTGAAGTAGTCAAGCTGTTTGCCTCAGGCTCTGAAGGTCATGGGTTCAAATCACAGTGGCGCCATTAAGTTCATGAGTGAATTTTTTACGGAGATCTATGGGTACCGTTGCTGGAACTAAGGAGATTCGGCTCTGTGCGATGCTCTCATCAAATAGCTAGCTGTTCTGTGGAGAGAGACTGAGTCATACAGGATAACCCCCAGTGCAATAAAGTCGATCCTCTCACTTCTCTCAACATCAAGGCAGATTGGCTAATAAACATTATCTTGTCTCGGAAGCTAACATATTTTGGTCATATCAAGCGCTATGGCAGACTGGAAAACAAATAATAGCAGAAGGCATGGTACCAGGAAGGAGGGACAGTGTCCCTCCGAAACCAAACTGGGCACAGGATAAAAGTGAGTCCTTAAATATGAAAGCACATGAGGCAGGAGAGCTGGTGAGAGACAGTGTTTCTTTCAGGCAGACCATGATGAGAGCGACGTTCTGCAAAGGATGATGATGATGATAAAACAAAAAAGATGGATAATATGAAAAAGATGGATAATATGAAAAAAAAAAAGAAGCGTAGGAAAACAAAATTGTAAAGGATGAATAATACCAACCAGCAATCATCATAATGATTGTGCCAGGTCCCAGTATCGTCATCAGCATCAGCAGCCATTGGTAGGCAATGTACAAGAAACTCATATTAGCATTCCTCTTGGTAGTCAGGCTGGCACTGTTGAGCAAGTCCAGGATGTTGGCGATTGTGGAAGGCATCCAGCGTCGCCTCTGGTTGAAGAACTCGAAGAAGCCTTCAGGTGCAAAAGTCCAGGCATCAGCAGCGGCTGCATATTCTATTCTGTAACCTTGCTGGAGCAGCAGGGTGCAGAGCCAGCGATCCTCACCTGAGAATGGGAGATGGGATATCACATGCCAGATGGGATATCACATGCCAGTTGGGATATCAAATGCCAGATGGGATATCAAATGCAAGATGGGATATCAAATGCCAGATGGGAAATCAAATGCCAGATGGGATATCAAATGCCAGATGGGATATCAAATGCAAGATGGGATATCAAATGCCAGATGGGATATCAAATGCCAGATGGGATATCAAATGCCAGATGGGATATCAAATGCCAGATGGGATATCAAATGCCAGATGGGATATCAAATGCCAGATGGGATATCAAATGCCAGATGGGATATCAAATGCCAGATGGGATATCAAATGCCAGATGGGATATCAAATGCCAGATGAGATATCAAATGCCAGATGGGATAGCAAGATTCCACATGCTAGAAATTACCCGCATGGTTTAACTCATTCCACCCCCATCAGTGTATCATGTTTGTTAACTAATATACATGTGCGCTGAGTAATGAGGTAGCACAGTGGCTAGCAACATCTGCTTACTCAAAGATCTTGAGTTAGAGTCTGTGCTGGGGGGAAGTGTGTGAGGAAGTTTCAAGGGCAGCATCAAGCAGTTTGAAAAATAAGTACATGTTTACTTCTAGTAATCCAGAATCTGGCAACTCTGACTGTGGAAACAGAAATGAAACAAGGCTGTGTCATATAGCCAATGCTCTTTGGAATAGCAATTGCTTGGGTCATGCAGAAATGCAGAATCAACACCCATTTGGGCATCAAATGAGTTGACCAAATTCTAGAAGACTTTGACTTTGCTGACAACATAATGCTTTTGAGTTCAACACACCCAGATATCCAAGAAACAACAGACCATCTCCAAAAAAGGGGGGGGGGGGGGTGCGAGCTAAAAGCGTTTTGAAGTTTTAAACAACAGATCAACATAATGGCCCACGAGTGTAACCCATAAGGGCTTTGTTCTTCTTCAAACTCAAGTCTTGAGTCCGAAGAAGCTCAGCACAGTGCATAGGGTCTGTAGCACCGGTGAGGATCCTGAAATACTTTGGGTAGATTTTTAACTTCAAATGTTGCCAGGACAGCACTGTTAGGCTATTCTTTTCAATTTTCAACTACCAATGAATTTTTTACGTGCGCAACAATGTACACGGGCGTTCAATCTCACTACCCAGAGACCAGGGGATTTACTAGAAGTCCAGGTCCACATGAAAAAAATCCTAGACCTTACCGGGGATTGAGCCCGGAAACTGTAGCACTCAAGGCGGACACCATGCCTGGAGACCACAAAGCAGATAAACAATACTGTGTTATAGACACGACAAGAAGATCTATATTTTGCGGCCTATAAAACACAACATGTGTATATACATAGAAGAAGAATAGGTATTCTTTTGTGGACAGAAACAAAAATACTGAGCTGCTAGATCAGTAGCTTTAAACAGGGAAGGGCTGCCTCTGGGTGGGGGGGGGGGGGGGGTTTTTAAAAAGCGGGGTGTGGGGGGCATCAATTTTGAAACTGAGTTATTTGCAATCAAAATTGTATGGTTTTTGTATTTGTAAAAAATCAGAAATGTCAGTGTTAACAGTTATGAAAGCAAAACAGCCTTGCCAACTTGATTGCCCCACAGGAACAAGTATCTCATTCTAGCCGACAATCTCTACCAGGGCTTATTTTTATGCTAGGTTTTATAATATAAAGCATATTGAACAATCAGGACAGGGCTTTTGTTTGGGTAGGTCTTATTTTCAAGGAGAAGGGTACCGTAAACAGAATACGTTTCACATGGTGGGGGTTCATACAGCCAGATGGAAACTACTTACCTTGATCAAACTGTAGATGATGGCTGGGTTCTGTGGGTTCTGTAGTGTATCTCTTCATGACGTTGGTGTCCAGTAAGGCAGATCCTCGAAACAAACTGTTGGAGGTAGTGTCAGTTATACAGTGTCACAGGATTAGAACCAACTGTTGGAGGTAGTGTCAGTTATTCAGTGTCACAGGATTAGAACCAACTGTTGGAGGTAGTGTCAGTTATACAGTGTCACAGGATTAGAACCAACTGTTGGAGGTAGTGTCAGTTATTCAGTGTCACAGGATTAGAACAAATTGTCCAAGGTAGTGTCAGTTATACAGTGTCACAGGATTAGAACCAACTGTTGGAGGTAGTGTCAGTTATTCAGTGTCACAGGATTAGAACAAATTGTCCAAGGTAGTGTCAGTTATGCAGTGTCACAGGATTAGAACCAACTGTTGGAGGTAGTGTCAGTTATTCAGTGTCACAGGATTAGAACCAACTGTTGGAGGTAGTGTCAGTTATACAGTGTCACAGGATTAGAACCAACTGTTGGAGGTAGTGTCAGTTATTCAGTGTCACAGGATTAGAACCAACTGTTGGAGGTAGTGTCAGTTATACAGTGTCACAGGATTAGATCCCTCTGTTGGAGATAGTGTCAGTTATACAGTGTCATAGGATTAGAACCAACTGTTGGAGGTAGTGTCAGTTATAAGTGTCACAGGATTAGAACCAACTGTTGGAGATAGTGTCAGTTATACAGTGTCACAGGATTAGAACAAATTGTTGAAGGTAGTGTCATACAGTGTCACAGGATTAGAACCAACTGTTGGAGGTAGTGTCAGTTATACAGTGTCACAGGATTAGAACCAACTGTTGGAGGTAGTGTCAGTTATACAGTGTCACAGGATTAGAACCAACTGTTGGAGGTAGTGTCAGTTATTCAGTGTCACAGGATTAGAACCAACTGTTGGAGGTAGTGTCAGTTATTCAGTGTCACAGGATTAGAACCATCTGTTGGAGATAGTGTCAGTTATACAGTGTCATAGGATTAGAACCAACTGTTGGAGGTAGTGTCAGTTATAAGTGTCACAGGATTAGAACAAATTGTTGAAGGTAGTGTCATACAGTGTCACAGGATTAGAACCAACTGTTGAAGGTAGTGTCATACAGTGTCACAGGATTAGAACCAACTGTTGGAGGTAGTGTCAGTTATACAGTGTCACAGGATTAGAACCAACTGTTGGAGGTGGTGTCAGTTATGCAGTGTCACAGGATTAGAACAAACTGTTGGAGGTAGTGTCAGTTATACAGTGTCACAGGATTAGAACCAACTGTTGGAGGTAGTGTCAGTTATACAGTGTCACAGGATTAGAACCAACTGTTGGAGATAGTGTCAGTTATACAGTGCCACAGGATTAGAACCATCTGTCGACTGTTTAAATTGTACGCTGTCACAGACACACACAATCTGCCAGTTATACGTGATCAAGCTCTGACACATTGTGTGACTCAGTTTACATTATATACAGTGAAATTATGGATAATTCTTCAAGACCCAATCATTGCATTCAAAACAAAACAAACACACACACACAAAACAAAAACAAAAAACGGGCTCATCAACAGCATTGGAAAGCTGAGATACTTTAGTCATATCTTCCTGTTCATAATGTTCACTGACTGTAAACTTTGGAGGGCATTTCTGGTTGTTTGTCCATTTCTGGACTTTAGTCGTGTTCTAGAACTTGAGCACATTCACGTTACAGATCTGACTTTTTTTGTGTGCAGACTCCCAGGCAGACGCACTCCGACTTCCAAGGAAAAGCCCATAATTAGTCGCCCATACTTTATGCTTATTAGACGGCAGTGGGTCTATTCTTTGAGTTGCGTGAAGAATTGACATCACAGCACTCGGGGCATTTACATGAGTGCTCCATCCTCATCTTCAGCAGCCAGCGCAGAGTTCCAATACTGATGGGACCAGTCACAAACTGGTTATATGTCCGTCTTGCCTTTCTTCTGAGCGTAGTCAGCCAGCCAGACCCTCTGGTTACACCCAGGTGCTTCATTCTCTCTAGTCATAATAATCTTTCTCTACTGATTCCGTTGCTTGTTCCCAAAGGGCCTTAATCACATCTGCCTTGTCATGAATCAATTCACCACCGAGTGGTGCAGATCCAGTCAATCTGTCTGCCTGTTCATTACCCACTACACCGGCATAGACTGGAGTAAAGATCAAAACTATGCTCACTACCCGTGACCTTTCCAGTGAAGCTTGCCACTCTGCTCAAAGCATCCCTGTCTTCACCTTTCACAGCATGCTTTCAAAGTCTGTTAGAATTACGACATGTGTATGCATCTTGTTCTCTAGCCATCGGAGAGCTGCAGTTCTTTTCTTCACAGCAATGGGGTCCTCGGACCAACTCACCAACTATAGCCATATAAAATGCCACATTTACTTAGAAAGTGTGGCTTCTTGAAGAAGACGCAGGAGTAAATCAGTACAAAAGTGGACATTGCCTTTGGGAGGTACCTAGGGAAAATACACGAGGCTGGGAAACTGGCAAGGTCCTGTCCAGCATAAAATGATAGGAGTAAGGCTCTAAACACCACTTTATATGATCAAGACAACAAAAAAGACATAAATGTGCACAATGCTGTTCATAAATGCAGTTTACAATACGATGATAACATGCCTAAACATCAACCCCCTCTTCCCGGAACTACCACTCCAGCGCGCCTCACCCCTACCGAATCATCAGTCATACCTGAAACAGCCAGGACTGCAGAGGACACAGCCGAATACATGTTCTGCAGCTTTCTGCAACCAATGACCGATTGCATATTCAAACTTCTGATACCAAACCATAGGTCCTGGAAAGATGTAGGCAAGATTTGTTATCATTTTATTACACTCTGTCTGTCTGTCTGTCTGTCTGTCTGTCTGTCTGTCTGTCTGTCTGTCTGTCTGTCTGTCTGTCTGTCTGTCTGTCTGTCTGTCTGTCTGTCTGTCTGTCTGTCTGTCTGTCTGTCTGTCTCTTTGTGAAGTCTTCAAACAACACTATAAAAGGGCAGAATGTTAGACAGGCCTTGTTGCTCATTTCTTAACCCTTTCAAAATAAATATCCTTTGTTTGTCATTCTTTTGCTCTCTCTCTCTCTTTCTCTCTGTCTCTGGATGGATATGTTTATGTATGTATCTATGTCTGTATCTATGTGTGCATCAATGTATGAGAGTAAATGTGTGGGCATATATGAAACTGTATGTATGTCTAATTGGGTGTGTGCAGTGTGTGTGTGCATGTGTTTGTGTAGTGAGTGTTGCGTGTGTATGTGTATGTGAAGTGTTTGTGCTTGTTTAGTGTATGCGTAGTGTGTGTGTAATATTTGAAGTGTGTGTGTGTGTGTGTGTAGTGTATGAGTGTTGTGTGAAGTGTGTGTTGTAGTGTGTGTGTGCGTAATGTGTGTGTGCAGTGTATGTATATATGTATATGTGTGTGTGTGTGTGTGGTGTGTGTGCGAGCATGTGTGCGTGTGTGTGTGCATGCGATCATGTGTGTGTGTGTGTGTGTGTGTGGGTGGGTGTGGGGGGGGTGGGTGGGTTTGTGTGAGTATGTATGTGCGTATGTGTGTATAAGTGGGTGAGGAATGAGTGAGTGCGTGAGTGGATGTGTGTGTGTGTGGATGTGTGTGTGCGCATACATTTATTTCATCCATGTTAAAAAAAAAATGTTATGCCTATTATTAAATGAACATGTGCTATATTGATTAAAGTAATTGCTGTGCGAAAGATGGCTGTTTCAAAGGGCTGAATGTAACACAGGCCTGCATGCCATGTTTGTGACTCTTTGAGAATAAAGTTTGTTGTTTTGTTCTCTCCCTCCCTCTGTCTCTCCTAACTAACTTGTCTTGTTAACTATTTCTCCTTGTGTGTTAATTTCTGTATCCTTGTTAATAATAAGCGTAGTTAACCCCGATACATGCGTGGATAAAATGTCTTAGGAACTAATTTTGATTACAACAAAATATAGTGACACTCATACCATTTCCAATGGGATGAATTCGTCCACACGCAGCTCCAACTTTCTCATCCTTCATTCTGTCGAGTAAAATCTTGATGGATCCAGGAGAGAAGTCGGTGTCTCCATCCAGGGCCAGGATAAAAGTGTTTTGTGCCTGGGCAACAATAACAGATCTTAATTCTTTATGCAGTTTTTCAATACAATTGTTGCAACAAAAAAGCAATCAGTGTTTTTCTGCCTAGTCATTTACATATATCAACAGCTACGGAAGAAAAGGACGCTAGTATTCAGTGGCTTAGCAAGGTCAAGAGTTACCCAGTGTACCCGATTTCCTCACATGTACACACACACACCTCCCTTTACACCCACATATATATTATTTTAAGAACACTTTTTTGGGGGCCATTTTGTCACACCCCCCCCCCCCCCCCCCCCCCCCCCCCCCCCCCCCCCATGTACCCCCCCCCCCCCCCCCCATGTATTATTAAAATGTTGAAAACACTTATTTTTGCCATTTTGATTTTGTCATCCACACCCCCCTTTCCCCCCGTGATGGCACCTGATGTGGTCCAAACCTTACATACCTCTTTCCTAGAAGAAGAAGAAGAAGAAGAAGAAGAAGAAGAAGAATAACAAGAAAAAGAAAATGAAGAAGAAGAAGAAGAAGAAAAGAAGAAGAAGAAGAAGAAGAAGAAGAAGAAGAAGAAGAAGAAGAAGAAGAAGAAGAAGAAGAAGAAGAAGAAGAAGAAAAAGAAGAAGAAAAAGAAGAAGAAGAATAACAAGAAGAAGAAAAAGAAAAAGAAGAAGAAGAAGAAGTAGCAGCAGCATCAGCAGCATCAGCAACAGTAACAGAAGAAGATGAAGATGAAGAAAAAGAGGAGGAGGAGGAGGAGAAGATAAGAAAAGGCCTACTTTGACTGCAGATTCCTCTCCCAACAAGTAGTTGATCTCATTGATGTTCAAGCCGTGATGTCCCTTTTTCAGGTTAATTTCCTGCATTTTTTCCAGAACGTCTTGTTTGCTCATCATGATATGTCTGTAGCCAAGCAGGTAGTGCATGTACATCACCTTCAGAACAATCAGTAAGATGTGATGGTGACTGAATGAACAGCAGTCAGTAAGATGTCATGGTGACTAAATGAACAACAGTCAGTAAGATGTCATGGTGACTAAATGAACAGCAGTCAGTAAGATGTTATGGTTACTGAATGAACAACAGTCAGTAAGATGTTATGGTTACTGAATGAACAACAGTCAGTAAGATGTTATGGTTACTGAATGAACAACAGTCAGTAAGATGTCATGGTGACTAAATGAACAACAGTCAGTAAGATGTTATGGTTACTGAATGAACAACAGTCAGTAAGATGTTATGGTTACTGAATGAACAACAGTCAGTAAGATGTTATGGTTACTGAATGAACAACAGTCAGTAAGATGTCATGGTGACTAAATGAACAACAGTCAGTAAGATGTCATGGTTACTGAATTAAAGACAACAAGTAAGATTTTACTGTAACTAAATAAAAAAAACAGTAGGTAAGATGTGATTGTGACTAAATTAAAATACAATATAAGACAATCATCAAGATGAGATGGAGACAGTCATTAAGATGTGAGACACAGAGAGAGTAAATGAGATTCAGTCATTAAGATGTAATGGGACTAAATGAAAGACAATTAATAACATGTGATAGGAATAAATAAAAAACAAAAACAAACCTGAGACCATCTCTTCCTGTTGCGGATCTTCTTGATGTCCTTCATATGAACAAAGAGCAAGTTTTCTCCTGGCATCTGCCAAATCAGCTGACCACCATAAGGAGTCGGCACCTTGATGGGAGGGTGTACTTTCATTGGTTTGCCGTGCACAGAGCTGCATCCAGAAACACACAAAGTCATGGATTAGTGAGTTCTTTGACCAGTTATCCTTATCGCTATTCGGACAAATCCATAAGTGCTCGGATTCCGTCTTCAGTGTATTCCTAAGCATGTGGCAACTGTTAGCACCAGTTCAGTGTATTCCTAAGCATGTGGCAACTGATAGCACCAGTTCAGTGTATTCCTAAGCATGTGGCAACTGATAGCACCAGTTCAGTGTATTCCTAAGCATGTGGCAACTGATAGCACCAGTTCAGTGTATTCCTAAGCATGTGGCAACTGATAGCATCAGTTTGGTGTTGGTCTACTACTCTTCTGTGGATACAGTGCTAACATCTGGATATATCTCTGAAGTTCTTACAGTCTTTTCAATGTTGCCCATTTCCTATCGCCTCCTGAATCATATACTCTGAGAGGATTGAGAACATTGGACCCAGTCCATTGCTTAAAAATTTACAGTACCAATAACAGAACTATGAGGATATGCGATAAGTTTTTAATCACTCCATAAACCAGTTAGTCTTCATTATGAAAGGAATGAGGTTTTTATAATTATGATAGGAATAAATTAAAAAAAATTTATTTTAGGAACTATATAATTATATATATATATTTACATTAACAATTAACTTCAATTATACTCACGACTAGAACCAGCTTATTATACGGGAGCGACTAATGTGTAACTACTGTACAATCACCTGAGCATTGAAAGGTTGTCAGTCTTTTTTTTTTCAAAAATTAACTTGGCTTTCAATTCGACACAACTTTAAATGGGCACCAGGTAAAGTCATGGGAAGTAAAAGCGGCCAGTGTGATGCTGACCCACACCTGAAGACATGGAATATCGTCCTTTTCTTTTCTTCCTACTCATGAATTTTAATTAGAATTTACAAGTTTAAGACAAGTTAAGGGGAAATAGCAATACCACTCTCTTCTCATGTGGATTCCAGAACCCTACTGAGGGTGGGGGTGGGGGGTGGGGGTGGGGGGTTGTGTATAAACCTATTGCCCCCAACAAGCATGTCTTTAAAAACAAAAATGGCAACTAATATGGGCTGTTTTCCTTGAATGTCGAATGCCTCTGTCCGAGAAGTGAGGAACCAACAGTCTGCATACAAATAGGCTAGATCTGTAAAATGGATGTGCATGTACAACACAAGTTCTGGAACAAGACTGGAGTCCGGAAACTGATCAACAACAAGAAAATTTTATGCTAAGAAGATGCAGAAAAAACCACACTTTACTTTTCATCTACTCGTCCCCATCATCATCATCCTGATTATGATGTTGATGATGATGACGACGATGATGATGCTAATGATAATGATGATGAAGATGATGATGACAATGATGGTGACGATAATGATGCTAAATATAATGATGATGATGAAGATGATGATCAAGAGGAAGATGGTGATGATGATGATGCTAAATATAGTGATGATAATGATGATGATGATGATGAAGATGATGATGATGATGATGATGAAGATGATGATGAAGATGATGATGACAATGATGATGCTAAGGATAATGATGATGATGATATTGATAATGATGAGGATAAAGATGATAATGATGACGATGCTAAAGAAAATGATGATGATGATGAAGATGATGATCATGATCATCATCATCATCTTCTCCTTTTTTTTTACTTCTTATTCTTCATCATTTAAATAAAAATATTTGTTCTGTTTTTGAATGCAGTTGCATTTAATTTTGTTTGTCTTCCAGCTGAGCTGCCATTTTGTCGCACTTTGACAGACACATTTGATAGACACATTTGATTTCTTAAGGAATTTATTGACCGGGTTCGCTTACTAGTGAATAGATAATCCAGTGTGTGATCAAACCCTATCTGCGAGCTACGTCCATGCAAGGGTTTGCTTACTAGTGAATAGATAATCCAGTGTGTGATCAAACCCTACCTGCAAGCGACGTCCATGCAAGCCACTAACTCCTTGACCCATTTGTTGGGAACTTGCTCATCAAAGTCGTCTGGCTCCATAGCGTCATCAAAGAAAATGTGTGCTGCAAAAAATTAAACAGATATAATACCAAAGAAGCAATCACAAGAAAAATACTAACTGTTACTGACCGTCAGTAACGGTAGTCAGTAAAATTAACAGCTTCCATCTCTTCAGATTAAGTGCTCCACTGTGTTGTAAGGATTTATGGGAACATCACAGCTTATGGCGATGGCTGGTGTACCTAGTGAGACCTGCTTATGTTAAAAAGAATCATTTGTGGACCATTTTTGCTCTTATCAGTAAAAAGGACCCTTTTCCCCGTCTTTAGGCGTATATGGCATAAAGGGCTAGACCTATGTTTTTATAGACCAATCGGCACAAATTGGGTGATGTGGTCAGCATCATGCCGGTCGCCTTTACTCCCTGGGACTGCATCTGGTACCCACTCAAGGCTGGATCGACCTGGGAGCCAAAGTCATTTTTGAAAAAAGTCCGGCTCTGCCAGGGAGCGAACCACCACCTTCTGATCTGCGGCACGCGTCTAGCCGCTCCGCCATGGCAACTCATCAGTATTTGCTGTTTCTTCAGGTGCTTCGTAACTTCAATGTTTGATTCTAACTGTTTGCGATTTGGCAGCAGGCCGCCATGCATTGACTCCGAAAGGGGTTTCAAGAGCCGAGCATCCAGAAACAATAACATACTACTGAATGTAAAATTACCTAGCAGAACTAAACAGCCAATAACGTTGGAGTTGCTTCAACAACGTCCTATAAAGGATACACAACTAGCTTTTTTAAAAATAGCTATATTGGACATTATCACTGTCACCCACAACCACGGACACTACAATCATCATCATTATCAACACCACCACTACCTTCATCATGACAATAATCGTCGTCAAGTTCCATCGGAGCAATTATAAATCCTCGGCAAATTCACTGGAAAGGCCCACCACACAGTTAGCCAGACTGCACCTAGTTCACATCAGTATCCGGGCTTATGCTGGCCATTGAAGAAGCCTACTGCTAGCCAATGGGAAAGTCCTCATTGCTGCAATGGTGGTTTTTGTGTATGAGGCATTTAAAGGCTGCAGTTGACTCAAGGGTCACTACTCTGTGTGACTGATCTGGTCATCAACAGTCTGTAACAGATGTCACACCATTTTGAAACTTCCTACTGCTCCATTCATACTTTTTCTGGACGGATAGGCATGCATCATCAACCTGGATCTTCATTCACCGTTGGATTTCTACAGGTTTTACCTCTTCATGTATTTTAAAAAAGTTAACGGAACACTGCTCCTCTTTGCCACAGTCAAAAATGGGGAGGCCATCTTTAAACCATTATTATGACATTATCAGGTTGGTCTGCAACATAATGTCATGTTCACAACTTGAACAGCAAAGCTTGGCATATCATATCATATCACAACGTCTAGTTTGAGAATGGAGGTGGAGGCAGTCACTGCTGCCTTCTGCTGGCTTGAGATTCAGCTGTAAAAACATGCCGTCATTGTAACTGACTCACAGAGCATGTTGAGAAAGGTGGAGACAGGCATGCTCCGTGCAGAGTGGCAAGCATCACTTCATAGGTCCTGGTTAGTTAGCATCCTTTTATTATTTTCTCCAGTCATGCCGGTGTGTTGGGAAATAAGCAGGCAGATAGACTGGCCGCTTTTGCATCACCTGGTGGTGAACTGATGTATGACAAGCTGGATGTTGTGCAGGCCCTTTGGGAGCGAGTGAACAGTGCCAAGGCACAGATAGATCATTACAGTCTGGGGAGAATGGCACTGCGAGGAGTTATGAGGGGATCTGGCCGACGCTCGACACTCAGGGGAAAAGTGACACGGATATACAATCAGACAATTACTGGTACTATCAGAATTTTAACTCTTTGCTTGCTGCTAAAGATGGGGACATAGCGCTAATGGGGGGTGTCTCGGGTGCTGTGATATCGATTCTTAATTCAACATTTGAACAACAATATTAACAGGTTACAAGATTATTATAATTTCTATCACACATTTAAGGTTTTCATTTAAAGCTCCCTGGATAACACTTCTGTATAATAGTTGTGTATAATAGTTCTGAACTCAATTTGATTCTACCCTCATCTGCTTATTGCTTGTAGTAGTAATATTCACCACAAAACATAGTTTAAAACACATTCAACAGAGGAAAATCCAAATAACTTCAGCTTTATGAAATTTGAAATAAAACGACTCACCTTCAAAATTGTAAAACTCAGGGTCGAATCCCTTGACTTTCTCATTAACCAGGCGTCTAATGTATTGATCTCTGTCCAGCCTGTGGTTAGATGAAAATTTAAAAACAAAGTAACAATGAACACAACTGGTTTAATGATCGCAGTAATTCTGGTACTACTCACAAAAGTAACCCCATCTTGTAGTGTGAGATTTCATAGCAGTTCTAAATAACCTCCTCCCACCACAATTGGTGTCAAGAACCCACACAAGAAATAGGAGGTCGAAACATATGGAAAACCCTAAAAATCCTAGACACCAACGATAACAAACAATGGGAGGAAAAAAAGGTTAAAGGTCACATACACACTACAAACCTGTGGAGGGATTTCAGCAGTTGAATCATCTCTGTCCTCGTCTCATGCCACATTGTTGCACAGGCATAAAGCATAGGAGTGGCTGGGTTCTCTTCTGCCGCAGGTTTTCCCAGAGGAGACAGCTCAATATCAGCCACATCATCTTCATTCAGTTTTCCTGCCAGCTGACACAATAAAGACACATGAACAGTTTTTAACTGCTGAAACTGCGACTGCTCCAAAACACTGAGAGAAGAAATGCAGCTAGAAAACTGTTCTTCCTTATGTTTACTGGTGGTAAACTCTGACAGAAAGTTATAATTGTTGTCCATGTATGGACTTTAGTTTATTCTTGTTCAGAACTTGTGTGTTGTGTGCACATCCATTTTACAGATCTATCTCATTTGCAAGCAGATTTTTGCTTCCTTGCTTCTCAGGCAGATGCTCTTTAACTTTGAAGGAAACCATAATTAGTCAACTCTTATGATATGCATGCGTAAGTAGTTGATCTATTCTAGTTTTCATCCATAATGGGGCTCTGAAAAACACATGGGAAACATTATCTATTATTATTATAATATGCTTTGTCTTGTAACACTAGAAAAAAAATACATAAAACAACAATGAGTTCACCTGTTCTATTAGGCACTAAAACTTAGAGAACAATTAACAAAAACGAAACCTTAGTAAAAACCTTTAAAAGCAGAATTTATAATGAATTAATTACTGACATAATGGAGGATAAAAGACTGCAATTATTGGGGCATACGAGAGAGAGAGAGAGAGAGAGAGAGAGAGAGAGAGAGAGAGAGAGAGAGAGAGAGAGAGAGAGAGAGAGAGAGAGAGAGAGAGAGAGAGAGAGAGAGAGAGAGAGAGAGTGAGTGAGTAACAAACAAGAGACAAAAACTGTCTCCACAAAAAAGTTGAATGAGAAAGACCAGAAAGCAGATCAAGAAGACAGCAGAGATAGTTTACAGACAGACCTACAAACACTTGGCCCCATTCCATGATAAAGATCCACGCAGCCAGCAGTGGGTTTTAATCATGGTTCATTGAAATTATGAGTCGGATTTGCAACGCCTTAGGAGTCTTCATTATTCATATATAATTAGTCACTTATTGCGTCGCTTTGTTCAGAATTGCTATTTATATGACAGTATCTTTGTGCAATGATCACTTCAGATGGCTGGTAGGAGAAACTAAGCAACATGAAATTCTTCTTCTTCTTCTTCGCGTTCACCAGCTGTATACTCTGGTGGAAAGTTCTGGTTGCTCGTCCACTACTGAACTGCAGTCCTGCTCCAGATCCTGAGTGTTGTGTGTGCATAAGTTTTTCATTCTCTTGAATACAGACTGTTGGTTACTTGCCTCTCCTGCAGATGCACTCCGACTTCAAAGGAAGCTCCCCAATTAGTCGACTCTTACGACATGCTTTTGGGAAGGCAGTGGGTCTATTCTTGTTCTCCCCACAATGGGGCCCCGGAACCCACACGGGGGGCAACATGAAATGAAACCAGATGCAATCACGTTGATAACCTAAATTTTAAACTTGTAAAATATAATTTTTAAATGTTAGTTAGTTAGTTAGTTAGTTAGTTAGTTAGGTTATCCTCATTGCACTCCGGACATGTCCATAGGTGCTCAGATCCTCCCCTCAGTATGAACCCCAACGTCCGATGGCTTATAGAACCAGTTCTATGTTGATTAACAAGTCTTTTGGCGTGTCTGGTGTGCGTCTCGTTTTTTGCTGTGCTGATCTTAATTCCCAAGTCTGCCATCACGATGTGCCTATGGTCGAGGCGGCCAGAAGAGCTAGAAACAGAACCTTATATCTCCCTCGACACCCACAGCGGTAAAAGAGGAAGGAAGAAGAAGATGCACGACTTTGAAGGCTTGATACATGACTTTGAAGGTTTGATAATATGACCTTGTATGTTCAATACAGACAGTGAATGCTTGACATATGACTTACACATGACTTGAAATGTTTGATACATGTTTAACTTTAGAGCCTACCTTATAATACACAACTTTGATATCTCCATCGTCTGTGACTTCAGGATATTCACTAACTTTGGATGGATTTCGGATGCGATTCAACATAATGGATTCACAAGTGAGAACACTACAGTAGCTGGGGTTGACGAACAGTCTGAAAGCAATGAAAATTTAATCTAACAAATCAATAGAATTTTGACATCTGACAATTTTGACATCTGACAATTTTGACATCTGACAATTTTTTCAGTCTTCAGTGCACATCATCGTCAAGTGCCTAGCCAACTAGTGTGAGTGATTATGACTTTCCAAAGTCTACAATCTACAACAAAAAAAGGAAGGAGATGATGAAGATGCAGAAGAAGAAAAAGAAGAAGAAGAAAATGAAAAAGGAGAAAAAGAAGAAAAAGAAGATGATGAAGATGCAGAAAAAGAAGAAGAAGATGAAGAAGAAGAAGAAGAAGAAGAAGAAGAGGAGGAGGAGGTGGGGAAGAAAAAGAAGAAGATTAAGTGGCTATTGCTCTTGCATACAAACACTATGGTCATGTTTTAAACTCTACTAACAGCTATACTTCCTGTCAGCAAATCTTCCTCTTCTTCTCCTTTGGTTCTTTTCTGCCTTTTGTAATCATGTTTTGAAGAAGCATCGGGTGTGAGACTTGGTATTTGCTCTGTCAGAGTGCATCTGCCTGAGAGGCAAGGAACCGAAAATCTGCATACAACTAGGTCAAATATGTAAAACGGATGCGCATGCAACACACAGGGTTTGGAACAAGACTATAGTCCAGAGATATATGAAAAACCAGGACTTCCCATCAGAGTTTACAGCCAGTGAACGTGAACAAGAAGATTATATATTATACCAGGTCACCAGCCTGCTAGATATAATATTTTATTCTGGAGGCGTGTCTTCCAATGTATGTCAGTCTGTTTTTGCTCCCAAGTCTTCCAATGTATGTCAGTCTGTTTTTGCTCCTAAGTCTTCCAATGTATGTTAGTCTGTTTTTGCTCCCAAGTCTTCCAATGTATGTCAGTCTGTTTTTGCTCCCAAGTCTTCCAATGTATGTCAGTCTGTTTTTGCTCCCAAGTCTTCCAATGTATGTCAATCTGTTTGGGCTCCCAAGTCTTCTCTTTCTCTATTCCTTTTCCATCTTTTCCTAGTCGAACAAACCTAAAATTGCTAGCAGGAAATGTCAAGAAAGGTAAAGGTGACAGAATGATATTGACCACATCACAAAGTGTCAACTGGTCTTTATACGAACAGATTTACCCCCACATATGCATATGTGATAGACATCAAGGTGTGCATATAGCTCATTTACATTATTTACCTGAAAACTACAATAGTGTCTCAGAAGTTTCTTCAGTAGAAAGTTCTGGTTGTCTGTCGTGATCCAGAACTTGAGTTTTACATGCACATGCTTTTTAGTGTCTGCCTTATTTGTATGCAGACTGTTGGTTTCTTACCTCTCAGATGCACTCTAACTTTAGAGGAAACACCCATAATTAGTTGCCTCCTATGGCATGCTTCTTAAGAGGCAGTGGGTATTAAATAAAGTTGAGCCCTTGAACCCCACATAGGGAGGAATAAAACAGATTCAAAACTCAATTTGATCACATACCTGGCAATGTTAGCAGCCCGGTCCAGCTTTGGTCTCCACATGTGTCGTGTCAGAACTACCAGAGAAAGCCACCAGGCAAAGCCAAACAGAAAATGGTACAAGTACGTCTCCAGGCTCACTGTGTCCTGCATGCCTAAGCATATACTTTCTTGGCCAGATTGTCGATTATCTTGTAAGAAATCCAGAAAATTGAAGTGGCAATTGAGGTAGAGGATTCCAATTGTTACTGGCATCGCCAACAGAGCAGGGATTGTTAGCGAGAACACTTGCATCTGGAATACACAGGCTCCGAAGGATGCAAAGAATGCGACAAAAGCTGTGAAAAAAATATCATTAGTAAACTGTATTACTGTCAAGTGTAGGCAATGACAACAGGAAATTTAGAGGGAAAAAGAGTTTGAGGGTGTTCTAAAGAGAATGTTTTGGATACTTAGTCATTTTTGCTAGCAAAACATATGGGAAAAGAGTGACAGAAGACGAAAACACACACACACAAAACTACAAATATAGGAACAGACATGAAACTCATCTAAACAAGATAGCAGAGAACTCAAATTCCAGGGGAAGTGTGTATGGGTAGTAGCAGAGGAAGACGAAGAAGAAGAAAGCAGCAGCAGTAGTAGCAGTAGCAATGGCAGCAGTAGTGGCAGTAGCAAAAACAGTAGTAGTAGCAATGGCATCAGTAGTAGCAGTAGCAATGGCAGCAGTAGTGGCAGTAGCAATGGCAGCAGTAGTAGTAGCAGTAGCAATGGCAGCAGTAGTAGTAGCAGTAGCAATGGCAGCAGTAGTGGCAGTAGCAAAAACAGTAGTAGTAGCAATGGCATCAGTAGTAGCAGTAGCAATGGCATCAGTAGTAGCAGTAGCAATGGCAGCAGTAGTAGTAGCAGTAGCACTGGCAGCAGTAGTAGTAGCAGTAGCAATGGCAGCAGTAGTAGTAGCAGTAGCACTGGCAGCAGTAGTAGTAGCAGTAGCAATGGCAGCAGTAGTAGTAGCAGTAGCAATGGCATCAGTAGTAGTAGCAGTAGCAATGGCAGCAGTAGTAGTAGCAGTAGCAATGGCAGCAGTAGTAGCAGTAGCAATGGCAGCAGTAGTAGTAGCAGTAGCAATGGCAGCAGTAGTAGCAGTAGCAATGGCAGCAGTAGTAGTAGCAGTAGCAATGGCATCAGTAGTAGTAGCAGTAGCACTGGCAGCAGTAGTAGTAGCAGTAGCAATGGCAGCAGTAGTAGCAGTAGCAATGGCAGCAGTAGTAGTAGCAGTAGCAATGGCAGCAGTAGTAGCAGTAGCAATGGCAGTAGTAGTAGCAGTAGCAATGGCAGCAGTAGTAGCAGTAGCAATGGCAGCATCAGTAGTAGCAGTAGCAATGGCAGCAGTAGTAGCAGTAGCAATGACAGCAGTAGTAGCAGTAGCACTGGCATCAGTAGTAGCAGTAGCAATGTCAGCAGTAGTAGCAGTAGCAATGGCAGCAGTAGTAGCAGTAGCAATGTCAGCAGCAGTAGTAGCAGTAGCAATGTCAGCAGTAGTAGCAGTAGCAATGGCAGCAGTAGTAGCATAAAGCACTGGCATCAGTAGTAGCAGTAGCAATGGCAGCAGTAGTAGCAGTAGCAATGGCATCAGTAGTAGCAGTAGCAATGTCAGCAGTAGTAGCAGTAGCAATGGCATCAGTAGTAGCAGTAGCAATGGCAGCAGTAGTAGCAGTAGCAATGGCATCAGTAGTAGCAGTAGCAATGGCATCAGTAGTAGCAGTAGCAATGGCATCAGTAGTAGCAGTAGCAATGGCAATCAGTAGTAGCAGTAGCAATGGCATCAGTAGTAGCAGTAGCAATGGCATCAGTAGTAGCAGTAGCAATGGCATCAGTAGTAGCAGTAGCAATGGCATCAGTAGTAGCAGTAGCAATGGCATCAGTAGTAGCAGTAGCAATGGCATCAGTAGTAGCAGTAGCAATGGCATCAGTAGTAGCAGTAGCAATGTCAGCAGTAGTAGCAGTAGCAATGGCAGCAGTAGTAGTAGCAGTAGCAATGGCAGCAGTAGTAGTAGCAGTAGCAATGGCAGCAGTAGTAGTAGCAGTAGCAATGGCAGCAGTAGTAGTAGCAGTAGCAATGGCAGCAGTAGTAGCAGTAGCAATGGCAGCAGTAGTAGTAGCAGTAGCACTGGCATCAGTAGTAGCAGTAGCAATGTCAGCAGTAGTAGCAGTAGCAATGGCAGCACTAGTAGTAGCAGTAGCAATGGCAGCAGTAGTAGTAGCAGTAGCAATGGCAGCAGTAGTAGTAGCAGTAGCAATGGCAGCAGTAGTAGTAGCAGTAGCAATGGCAGCAGTAGTAGCAGTAGCAATGACAGCAGTAGTAGCAGTAGCACTGGCAGCAGTAGTAGCAGTAGCAATGGCAGCAGCAGTAGTAGCAGTAGCAATGGCAGCAGTAGTAGCAGTAGCAATGTCAGCAGTAGTAGTAGCAGTAGCAATGGCAGCAGTAGTAGCAGTAGCAATGGCAGCAGTAGTAGTAGCAGTAGCAATGGCAGCAGTAGTAGCAGTAGCAATGGCAGCAGTAGTAGCAGTAGCAATGGCAGCAGTAGTAGCAGTAGCAATGGCAGCAGTAGTAGTAGCAGTAGCAATGGCAGCAGTAGTAGCAGTAGCAATGTCAGCAGTAGTAGCAGTAGCAATGGCAGCAGTAGTAGTAGCAGTAGCAATGGCAGCAGTAGTAGCAGTAGCAATGGCAGCAGTAGTAGCAGTAGCAATGGCAGCAGTAGTAGCAGTAGCACTGGCAGCAGTAGTAGTAGCAGTAGCAATGGCAGGAGTAGTAGCAGTAGCACTGGCATCAGTAGTAGCAGTAGCAATGGCAGCAGTAGTAGCAGTAGCAATGGCAGCAGTAGTAGCAGTAGCAATGGCAGCAGTAGTAGCAGTAGCAATGGCAGCAGTAGTAGTAGCAGTAGCAATGGCAGCAGTAGTAGCAGTAGCAATGGCAGCAGTAGTAGCAGTAGCAATGGCAGCAGTAGTGGCAGTAGCACTGGCAGCAGTAGTAGTAGCAGTAGCAATGGCAGCAGTAGTAGCAGTAGCACTGGCATCAGTAGTAGCAGTAGCAATGGCAGCAGTAGTAGCAGTAGCAATGGCAGCAGTAGTAGTAGCAGTAGCAATGGCAGCAGTAGTAGCAGTAGCAATGGCAGCAGTAGTAGCAGTAGCAATGGCAGCAGTAGTAGCAGCAGTAGCAATGGCAGCAGTAGTAGCAGTAGCAATGGCAGTAGTAGTAGTAGCAATGGCAGCAGTAGTAGCAGTAACAATGGCAGCAGTAGTAGCAGTAGCAATGGCTGCAGTAGTAGCAGTAGCAATGGCAGCAGTAGTAGTAGCAGTAGCAATGGCAGCAGTAGTAGCAGTAGCAATGGCAGCAGTAGTAGTAGCAGTAGCAATGGCAGCAGTAGTAGTAGCAGTAGCAATGGCAGCAGTAGTAGTAGCAGTAGCAATGTCAGCAGTAGTAGTAGCAGTAGCAATGGCAGCAGTAGTAGCAGTAGCAATAAAAGTAGTAGTAGCAGTAGCAATGGCAGCAGTAGTAGCAGTAGCAATGGCAGCAGTAGTAGCAGTAGCAATGTCAGCAGCAGTAGTAGCAGTAGCAATGTCAGCAGTAGTAGTAGCAGTAGCACTGGCAGCAGTAGTAGCAGTAGCAATAACAGTAGTAGTAGCAGTAGCAATAACAGTAGTAGTAGCAGTAGCAATGGCAGCAGTAGTAGCAGTAGCAATGTCAGCAGTAGTAGCAGTAGCAATAACAGCAGTAGTAGCAGTAGCAATGTCAGCAGTAGTAGCAGTAGCAATAACAGCAGTAGTAGCAGTAGCAATGGCAGCAGTAGTAGCAGTAGCAATGTCAGCAGTAGTAGTAGCAGTAGCAATGGCAGCAGTAGTAGCAGTAGCAATGGCAGCAGTAGTAGCAGTAGCAATGGCAGCAGTAGTAGCAGTAGCAATAACAGTAGTAGTAGCAGTAGCAATGGCAGTAGCAATGGCAGCAGTAGTAGCAGTAGCAATAGCAGCAGCAGTAGCAGTAGCAATAGCAGCAGTAGTAGCAGTAGCAATAACAGTAGTAGTAGCAGTAGCAATAGCAGCAGCAGTAGCAGTAGCAATGGCAGCAGTAGTAGCAGTAGCAATAACAGTAGTAGTAGCAGTAGCAATGGCAGCAGTAGTAGTAGCAGTAGCAATAACAGTAGTAGTAGCAGTAGCAATGGCACCAGTAGTAGCAGTAGCAATAACAGTAGCAACAACAGTAGTAGTATCAGTAGCAATAACAGTAGTAGTAGCAGTAGCAATAACAGTAGTAGTAGTAGCAATAACAGTAGTAACAGTGGCAATAACAGTAGTAGTAGCAGTAGCAATGGCAGCAGTAGTAGTAGCAGTAGCAATGACAGAGTAGTAGTAGCAGTAGCAATAACAGTAGTAGTATCAGTAGCAATAACAGTAGTAGTATCAGTAGCAATAACAGTAGTAGTAGCAGTAGCAATAACAGTAGTAACAGCAGCAATAACAGTAGTAGCAGTAGAATAACAGTAGCAGTAGCAATACCAGTAGCAGCAATAGCAAACACAGTAGTAACAGTAGCAATAACAGTTATGGCAGTAGCAATAACAGTAGTAGTAGCAGTAGCAACAACAGTAGTAGTATCAGTAGCAACAACAGTAGTAGTAACAGCAGCAATAACAGTAATAGCAGTAGCAATAACAGCAGTAGCAATAACAGTAGTAGCAGTGGCAATGACAGAAGCAGTAGCAGTAGTAACAACAGCAGTAGCAGTGGTAGCAGTAGTAGTAGTAAAAGTAGTAAAAGTTGCAGAAGGCAGATCATGATGACAGTGGACAAGAGTAACTAGGAATTAACTGTGATGAAGACTCAGTTGGTGATATGGTGACAAAGAGAGAGAAATGTGAAAAATACGTTGGAATAGGAAGAATAGGAGAAGGATGAGAAGAAGAAGAAGAAGAAGAAGAAGAAAAAGAAGAAGAAGAAGAAAAAGAAGAAGAAGAAGAGGAAGAAGAAGAAGAAGAAGAAGAAGAAGAAGAAGAAGAAGAAGAAGAAGAAGAAGAAGGAGGAGGAGGAGGAGGAGGAAGAGGAGAAACGAGGAAGAAAAACACATTGTTTACCGGAGACCATCAAAGCAATGGCAGAAGCAACAGCCTGTGCTTGTATGGGTTTCTTCTTGACAGTGAAGGCATCAAATGCCTTGTCGTAGCTGAATCCATCATCCAGGTTCAGGTAATAGCCCTGTATAATGTTAAAATAGGTTTTAATTAGAATTGCAGCATGTCAACTTCTAAAATTTCCGAGGCATCAAAAAAAAACATTTGTTAGCCCCTCCATCTCCATTCTTGGGTAGGCTAATTAGCCAGCTAGCTAGAAAGGCAGCATGCCAGACAGAAAATCAATCAACCAACCAACCCACCAGTAACTAGAAATACAGCCAGTACACCAGCAACTAGCTATCCAACCAACCAACCAATAATTAGATTTACAGTCAGGACACCAACGCTAGCTATTTAACCAACTAACCAACCATTCAACTTGCTATCCAACAAACCAACTAACCAATAACTAGATATACAGTCAGGACACCAACAACTAGCTATCCAACCAACTAACCAACCATACACCCAACCAGCGGACTAACTAGCCAAATTAAAAATATCTTACCAGAAGTATTGTCAGTCCGATCTTCCACAAAAAGGTGAAAAGATGTGGGTAGTGACGACCGTTCTGCAAATCAAACCGGATCTTCAGAACGACGTTCTTGAACCAGTTTTCATACTTGAGCTCACAGAACAGTCGGCCATCTGTGAAATTCTCCCAGTGAGCACAGGAGACTAACACAAATGCAGCAACAATCTCGGCATCATGGTAGGAATCTGTTGTGAATATGTAGGTGCCATTTTCTGCAATAGATAGTGCATAGAAACATCAATAGAATTACCATCAACGTCATAGTTCAGTAACACTGTATGTCTTTGGCTGACTAGTTGCTGTTGATTTATCATTTTCCTTCATCTCTGTAGGTCAGATGCATAGGGGATTGCGTGGTCTTGAGGCAAGGTGTTTGCCTCAAGTGCTAGAGGTTCCGGGTTCAATCTCCGGCAAGGGCTGGGATTTTTTAACGTGGTCTTCATCATCATCAGGTGCCTTGCCGACTGGCATGGGCGATCATGCCTTTCCATAATCTGCGATCTCCTGCAGTATGTATCAGTTCGTGTGCCGACACACCTCCATGCCATGCAACAAGACTGTCAAGCATCTTCTCTCACTGTCTTCCTCTATCCCTCCTTCCACAGATCTTTCCAGCGGTCACAACATGTTCTATTTTCCCTCTTCTCATAACATGGCCGAAAAATGATGACTGTCTCCTTCTGATGTCTGTGATGTTGTCTTCGGGCTCCCGCCTCTTTCAAAACCTCTTGGTTGCTCTTTTTGGCTGTCCAAGGTATTCTAAGAATTCTTCTGTAAAACCACATCTCTAAGGCCTCTAGAAATTGTTTGGCCTGCCTACCAATTGTCCAGGATTCACAGCCATATGTTAAAACTGGATGTATGTAGCAAGCAATAATTCTTTTTCTAACTCTCAATGACAAGGATATATTGCACAAGATGTTTTTCATTTTATAAAATGCAGTTTTTGCAAGTCCTATTCTGTTTCTTATCTCAGTTATGCATCTTCCATCTGATGTTATCCATGTGCCCAGATACCTAAAATTCTGTACTTGTCCTAAAATAACGCTATCGACTTTTATTACACAATTAGGAATAATCCGTTTCTTAGACTTGGACTTCTAATAATTTCCCCTCGTCTCTGGGTACTGAGATCAGACACTGGTGAGCATTGTTGTGCACGTAAAAAAAAAAACCTTGGCGGTTGGAAATCTACCTAAAAGTAATTTCAGGATCCTCGCCAGTGCTACAGAGCCTGTGCACTGTGCTTAGCTTCGTCCGACTTGAGTTAGAAGAAGAACGGAGCACTTATGGGTTATTACCCATGTGCCATGATGTTGATCAGTTGTTTAAAAAAAAACGGGGGAAAAAAAGGTCAGATGCAATGGACTTTATGTTTTTTCTGAGGCCTGTCCAATCAGCCAATGCAGCTTTTAAACCCGTCTTCTTTGTTTACTGGCTGTAAGCTCAGGGGGATAAAACCTGGTTTTTTCATCCATTTGGACTTTGGCTTTGTGCTGGGGCCTAAGTTCTGTGTCTTTTACTGGCTTATTTGTTAGCAATTGGTTGTTCCTTGCCGATCAAATAGCTTGAATAACTGCAGTGTTAATCAACGAGGAATGATCGACTTAGAAACAATGATATCAGGAAGGGAGTTGGCACAGAACCAATACTAAACTTTATTCGTAGACAACAAATGAAATGGTTTGGCCATGTAATAAGACTGGTATCAGACAGTGCACCACAGAGAGCAATTTTATACAAATACAGCAGTAACAGACTCAGAGGTAGACCACGCAGAAGATGGACTGCAGAAATATCAGAGAATGAAATGTACTTTCTACAAAGCTAACAGAAGGGCTAGTTCGAGAGATTTCTTCCTGCCCTGATGCCACGTGGCATTCAGGAGTAGAGAAAAGAAAAAGAAGAAGAAGAAGTGTTAATCAATCTTAGAAATGTATATTTCAACTCCATTGCCAGCGGTGAGGCCGTTTGCCGCTTGATTTTAAGGTTGCGTTTTCAGTGTCAAATTTCCACTCTAGTTACGATCATATTCAGGGTAATGGGTGCGCTTGTGGTCTGTATCTTTCCATCCCTAAAAGTAACTTTTTTCTAAAGGTATCTCAAGGAGGTTGTCACTAGAGTCATGAAGTTTGTGCTGTTGGTGTGGAGAAGTTTTTCCCTGCTGCATATTTGAGGTCCGTAGGATTCCTATCTCAAGAGTGAGAATCAAACAAAACGGTAAACACAGTTCAACCGTGTAACCATACAGCACAGTTGTATTGGAGTACCAGAAATGGTTACTGAGTAACATGTAATCCAGTGTGGGTGAGTTGTGAGTGCATTAATTTGATGTTTACCTCACACGAAAAGTTGAAAGATTCCTGATAAGAAGATAAGTAAAAAGTAAAGTAAAGAACCCTTTCTCACGCCTTCAGGTGTATTGGGCATATAGGTAAAGGTAAGTTGCGTATCCTTTACAGGATGTTGCAGAACCAACCCCAACAGCCCCTGGCTGGTTTTTCTAGGCAAATTTACGTCCATTAGTTTGCCATTGCTTTTTGGACAGTCAGCTTTCTTGATACCACTGTCGAAACCAACGCAAGGCGCATGGCCCCACAGCTGAAATCGAACCTGCCATCCTGGCATTATGAAGCGTTCGCATCGACTTAGCCACAGAGCCGACGGGTATATAGTACTGACCTATATTTTATTGACCAAATGGCACTTGGATGTGGTCAGCATCATGCCAGCCACCTTTACTTCCCAGGACTGTACCTGGTACTCACTTCAGCTGGGTCGACCTGAAAGCCAAGGTCATTTTATGGGGGAAGAAAAGTCTGACCCCTGCCAGGACCCGAACCCACCACCTTCCAATCCACAGGCAGGCGTCTGGCCACTAGACCATGGGGGCTGCCCATACAAAGATTAGGAATGCATGAATGAGACACCTGCCTATACATTTGTAGACAGAGGAGAACTGATTACAAATGAAGAGTAAACCATGGGACATATCAGTTCATCAATTAGTTATAGAGAAATCTGCATATGCACAGGCAGAAATGTAAAATTATTTAATCTTCTGATGTGTCAGGCATTTAGTGGAGACATTTAGTGGTGGTCTCCTTTCTTCACCCATATAAGGGTGGCTGGCACAATGTCTTGTGGTTTAAAGCTAGTATGTGATATGTGCTCTTTTGGTAAAACACATCCTTTTCAGCAAGCCATAATTAGTTGCCTGTTACGACATGGTGAAAATATGGGGGTGACTGCAGTCAAGCAGGCTGCCCGGCCGAAACGTTACATTGTGTTGTTTTGTGCACGTTTTTCTGCTTCCCCATTTTGTTGAGCTTTTTAGTCTAATTTCTCTGGAATTCCTGTTATGACATGCTTGTCAAAGGGCAGTGAGCCCATTCTCTTCCCCCCCATAACAGATGGGGCTTTAAAACCTATACGAGGTTCTAGCATGGTGATACAGCCCTCGATGAGTGGCATTGACTAATGCCATTCTTTATGAGTGCAGAATGTCTTTAATACCTTCAATCTAAATTCCTCTTGGAAACCTTACTCTATTGTACCATCTCGTTAGTTGTAGCCACTTGTTTAGTAACCGGTGTTGCTGTATCCTAGCAAGATGCTTAAACTGATATCTCTCTCTCTCTCCCTGTTTTCTCTCTCTTTCTCTCCACTCTCTCTGCCTCACTTTTGCCATCTATCTACCTGACTCTTATCATCTCTATTTCTAGGTCTATTTCTCTGTCTGTTTATGTGCCTCTTTGTCTCTATAATGTCTCTGTAATTATTTCATCTCCCCCCTCCCCCCTCCCTTTCTGATAAATATGAATAAATAAGAGAAATATGTAATAAAATAATGCAGTTTTCACTTACGGTCATCAAAATATCCCTTCACAATAATCAACGGGATGACAGAAATCTGAAAGAGCATCATGAAGAAGTCAAGAACATATCTGAGAATCTTGATGCCTGTCCCCTGATAGTTACACTGCAAACACAGTCCAGTTGTGGTCTGGAAGTCCGAACTGGACATCACAAACTTCAGCACCGATGGCAGGATGGCGGTGGCACTCAGCAACATCACAGACCTGATGATGTCCAGGTTGGGAAGGACGCGGAAGACAAGAAGACACAATCCAACTGCATGGCAGGTCTCCATGAAGATCACCTGAATAAGGTAAACATGAAAGAAGTGGAAAATTATGGAAACCTGTGATGTAGAAGAATGGATGCACGTGGTCTGTACAAAATATATCTGACTTTCTAAAAATAAATGTGTACCAAAAACTGTGTGTAGCAAGACGTGTGTACCCTGTGTACCCTCTCCACATTAAAGGTTAGTAACAGTGTACCACTGCTGTCTTTGGGAAAATTATGTTTGGTGAGGCCCAAATCCCTTCTATGGTGTGACTCTCTTACTATAGTCCAAAACAAAATAATAGTAGAAAAAAAAATCAACCATCTGCCATGGAAGTCTAATTTTAATAGTCATGAAACTGCATTCATTAACCTCTAAACGACAGCGACGACTTAATCTGATACAAATCAAGCAAGTACCCGTCACCTACATTTTATTTCCGTGACCACAAGCACCGCAAGCTGGGTACTCAGTTTCCTTGTGCCCCCCCCCCCCCCCTCATATTTTTAGGGACAAGCTGAGCTTCCCAATAATTAGCGTAACTTCTTTGTCGTAGGTGGCTATTTTACACTTTTATCCAGCAACTTCTATACACTGCGGTTAGAATAAACAAAACAGACACAAAAGACATTTTCCCTGTATTTTTTTTCTTCATGGCTGTACATATATGTGTGACCATACACATGTCAGACATTCTACCAGGTAGATAGAAGTACAGTTTATATTGGAAAAACATCAGTTAAGTGATAAAACGTTGATATAATAAATACATGCTTTTACAAACTATTAATTTATTATGAGTATACACACAGATACAAATTTACAAAGTATTTGCTTTACAAAGTATTTGCAACAAGTAAACAGACGGACATTTACATAATTTGCAATGAGCAAATAAACAGACAAAAACAACAGACAATACTTGCCCAGAGCCAAGTTGACACTGATGGTCTTTTAAAATTTCCAAAGCAAATTTTGGCCAGTGCAAACAGCCAACCCAGACCATAGGGTATACAGAGAGCAACGATCAGAAACAGGAAAGCTACTTGCTGAAAGTGACGAAATAAAATTAATTGATTAACTATACCACTGAATAAAATATATTCAGATCAGGATAATCTCAAACAGGAGCATCTTCCTCTTCTTTGTCGTTCTCCCTGTCAGTAGTTTTCAGACCACAGGCCTCTGAAAGTCTGTGTTGTGACACAGCCTGGGTTTCCACCCGCAACACCTGTATGTAAAGAACTTGTCTGTAGCACATGTTCAGTGTTCTGTGGTGCCTGTACATATGGGCAAAGGTTTGAATCTCCAGTCATAAATTTGTTGTACATTAGGCGGTGATGTCCTAATATCCTACCCCAAAAAAGGGAAATCCACAGGTCACGGGACAGTCTAATATTTCAGGGCGACGTAGATAGGCTGCAAGCATTCTTGGGACCTAGGCTGCACTCTTTCGTGAGACATAGGGGGTTGGGGTTAAGGCCAGTTCTGGATGTTTTGGGGTCATTAAAAGCATCAGAAAGCAGGGAAACCAAGTCTTACCACCCTCTAAAATATTAGACTGTCCTATGACGTCATCTAGAGTAGAATATTACAAAAGAACCCATTTGGCTGAAGAGTCCATTGTGTCCATTATGCAGTCTAAATATAACGGTTTGTTTCTTTCAAGCACAAGTATACATCAGAATAAATAACTAATTGATATGTTTATGAAGACATATCACATTGATCTTTACAAGACTAAATATAAAGGTCCTGTGTTTTCCTCTGACCATACTGAATGACTATTTTGCATCTAAAGGATAGACATGATATTTGGGACCAGTCATATGTAAATAAAAAAGACCTTTCCCATGCTTTAACACGAATTAAGATGTAGTGAAAGTTTACACTGTAGGCGTATTAGGCATATAGGGCTAGACCTATATTTTATCGACCAATAGCACTCTGTGGGTGTTGTGGTCAACATCACACTGGCTGCCTTTACTTCCCAGAATTTTACCTGGTGCTAATTGAAGGCTGGGTCAACCTGGAAGTCGATGCTATTAAAAAAAAGGTTAGGCTCTGCTGGAATCTGAACCCACGACCTTCAGGTTTGCAGGCAAGCACGAAACAACGTTGGTTCCCAGAAATCCCATGCATTCAATTTAAATTATGTGATGTAACCACAAGGAAGGCTAGCGAAATACTTCTACCTTTAGGAACATTAACTAATGAGGTCCCAGTCTCTTTCCCAGTGTGACTCTCATACCACAGACAGAAAACCTTGATAATTTTTTTTAAAGATCAACCATCAATCGGGAAAACTACACCCTGGTGCTCAATGATTATGGGATTGTTAGACGCATTTACTAACCTCATAGTTGCAGATGCAGACTTTAGTATGTGTACAAGGATGACATTTCCCACCATTCCTATAGGTATTGTGGCCATGTTATGAGAGTGGTCCAAAACAGTGGCGAGGTGTGATTAATTTGCATGTGTGAGCGTTAGCAGGTAGCGATTACACTGGAGGGGTATCACATGATTTTTTTCCTTTTTGTGAATTCACGATAAATTAACATCATTGTAAATGACAGCTTTTTTCACGTTATAGTTTCTGCGTGAGTCTCATTGTCACACTGTGACCGTTGCGTTCGCTGTGTTAATATTAATATTCTTAACAAGGTTAACGTGCTTGGCCAGGCATAAGTGGGGAAGTTGTAATAAATAATAAACAGTAGTAATATAGGGATTTTAAAAAAATGCCTTTTTCTGTTGCAATCGCAAGTATAGGCAGCGATTCCTGCTGTTACATGCACACCTCGTCACTGGTCGAAACATGCTGGCCTAGGGTTCAAATCCTCATCAAGATGGATATTAAAATTGACCTTGACTCTCATGTGGACCCAAATTAAAATGGGAACCAGGAAAGACAGCAGGTGTGATTTCGACAGTATAGCAAATCGATTACAACGAAATATGACGGGAAGTAAAAGCGGTCTGTGAGAAAAGTACTTGAGGGAAATAAAGAAAGGTATTTCATCAGTTCAGTTCAGTCAGTCATTACCTTTATGTTTGCTCCATTTGAGGCGAGGTGTACCTTATCATGTTTAAGGTTTGTAGTCAGAAACAATAAGCCAAGCTAAGAAAAGAGTTAAATAAAACATGGAATTATAATGTGAAATGAAAGCAGTAAATGGTCTTATTTTGACTTTTGTGTTCTACATGGTATCTTCTTCTTCTTCTTCTTCTTCTTCTTCTTCTTCTTCTTCTTCTTCTTCTTCTTCTTCTTCTTCTTCTTCTTCTTCTTCTTCTTCTTCTTCTTCTTCTTTTTCTTCTCCATCTTCTTCTTCTTCTTCTCCTTCTCCTCCTTCTTCTTCTTCTTCTTCTTCTTCTTCTTCTTCTTCTTCTTCTTCTTCTTCTTCTTCTTCTTCTTCTTCTTCTTCTTCTTTTGTAAGTATCTGGACTGGCTCTAGTTGCTGCTGATGCTTCTTCTTGATACTGTCGTTCCATTATTTGGGTGATTTTCCCTTGTTCCTTGTTTATTATATTTGTCTGTCATGGATCTCTAAGGCAGCTGGTGCCCCAGAAGTCACATCAGATGACCAAACCATTTCAACTGTTGCTCTTTAGTGAAATGCACGCACAGTTGTAGTCCTAGTCTTTTTCTAACTTCATTTTTAATTTCATTTGGGTTCGTCACCCTGGCAGCTCATCTAACAAATCTATCTCTGTGATGATAGGCATACAGTTAAACAGATTATCAGTAACAGAGATGGGGTTAACTTGCTTCCCCGGTACTACAGTTTTGTGTAGTCACAGGTTTTCAGTGTGTCTTCTACATTTCCGTCTGCCTCTTGATATTTCCATTTTCAGTTGTATGCTCTCTGCCCACATTCTTCTTCTTCTTCTTTTTTCCTACTACCTACGTCAGAAAGTGTTACATAGAGAGAGAGAGAGAGAGAGAGAGAGAGAGAGAGAGAGAGAGAGAGAGAGAGAGAGAGAGAGAGAGAGAGAGAGAGAGAGAGAGACAGACAGACAGACAGCAGACAGACAGATAGATGTTTCCTGTCGTTTGCTAGTTGCTTGTGTTGATGGCATATTGTTTTTCTGTAATGTCTCTTTCACTTCCCCCCCCCCCCCCCCAACTCATCTCTTTCTTGTTCAGTCTCTCGACTTGTAGCCTGCTGTTCTCATACAGTATGCTCAAAGTGGACCTATTGACTATTTGGTATTCGGCCGAATAGTTGCGGTCGGGCCGAAATACGAATAGTAGTTACCTTACACCCGCTTCTTCATACACAGCCTTAATACTCACAACATAGAACAATTGATTTTGTTGAAAGCTAATGCAGCTTTCTTGCATTAACTAAGCTGTCAGTGACAATTTCCAAGTTTAGTTACTTGTTATAATACTTAGGATTATTTCATTCCAAGTTATTAGTTACCACAGACTAACTGAAGGATGCAAAACATAAAATGTTTTTAAATGTTTTCTTTTCTGCACGAATACTAACTAGACATGGAAAGAATATAAACTCCGGCCACATCCAAGTCGATAATATGAAATCAAACGAACGGAAACATATAAGTACGTGGGTGCAAACTTCAACTGCTCCAACTGCTGAGAGAAGAAATACAATCTAGAATACAATCTAAAAATTAAGTATACTATGCCCTTCAACATCTGCTAGAGTCAAAGTGTCTGTCTCGCAACACCAAGATCAAAATACATAAAACGTTGATTAGACCAGTCGTGTTATATGGCTCTGAAACTTGGAGCACAACTAAAAGAGATGAGGTCTTATTACAGGTTTTAGAAAATAGTCTTACCACAAATCTTTGGACCCATCGAAGATGCTAGCAGCGGGGAATGGAGAGTGAGAAGCAACAACGAAACGCATAATCTGTTTAGATCACCATTGATCACTGGCATCTTGAGAGCTAACAGGCTAAAATGGTTGGGGCATATTGTAAGAATGTCAGATGACAGGGAAGTAAAAACTGTATACACCTGAGAGAGGAATGGGCGTAGACCACGAGGCAGATACAAAAGAATTTCGAGAGATAATGTCCAGCCAGACCTGCAAACAACTGGTGTCACAAATTGTGACGAGAAGGCTAGCCAGAGAGATGACTGGAGACGAGGGATATCTGCAGCAGTAAACCTCAAGGGCTCAGAATGCTAAAGAAGAAGATGACTATTCTGTGCTACTTATGTAAAGTAAAAGTTCAGCATACATTTGGCATTATGAATGTGTGTTTTTTTAATAGATATATTTTATACACAATACACTATTCGTATTCGTATTTGGCCGAATAGTGAAAATCACTATTCAGCACAGCCCTAGTTTATATACAGTTTATTTGTTAATGGCTAACCAAGTTACTGTTGATTGTAATCAGGTCTTTACATTTCTGGTGAACAGATGTGCTGGACATGGTTTTTTTCATATTTATATTTTAGTCAGTCGAGTCAGTTTTGGGAATGTGTATGTGTGTGTTTGTGTGTATGTGTGTGTGTTTGTGTGTATGTGTGTGTGTGTGTGTGTGTGTGGGTGTTAAAAAAGTTAGTTAGTTAGTTAGTTGTGTTATCATCATTGCACTCCAGACATGTCCATAGGTGCTCAGATCCTCCCCTCAGTATGAACCCCAACGTCCAATGGCTAATAGTACCAGTTCTATGTTGATTAACAAGTCTTCTGGCGTTTCTGGTGTGTGTCTCGTTTTTTGCTATGCTGATCTTAATTCCCAAGTCTGCCATTCTGGCGAGTGATGTGGATTCACTGCCACCAAAGTCCTCTTTCCTTCCCATTTGTCTGAGGGCATTGATAATATCAGCATGATCCATAGGCTGACCGTCGGTAGTGATAGCGGATCCAGCCAACCTGTCAGCTCTTTCATTTCCATTGACGCCTGTGTGTCCCGGAACAAAAATAAAGGTGACTCCACGCACGGTGGACTTCTGTAATGATTCAAGCCATTGTCTTCACACCGAACCTGCCTGAACCCTCCGGATCAAATTCATTGAATCACTGAGTATACATACATGGGTGTATTTTTGTGTTTCAAGCCAGGCAAACGCTTGCATCACTACCATAACTCCATCGTCATGCTGCTAATTGTCATGGAGAAGGCGCCGTTGGCTTCCTCGACTGTTCTGCCCGCTGAGCGTGCTGTAAATGCCCATGCGCTTCTTTTTTTGGCGTATAACGGATCCGTCTGTGTAGATTAGTGCATCTGCTTCGTCTAAATTTTTACTGATGAGGGCATTGACCTCTGCATTAACAGCAACAGGATTCTCTTCTCTACATCGCCTGTTGAGTGTGGCAGTACAGGAAATAGACGCATGAGGCACAGGTATCCACTCTGCACCAGGTATGATGTCGGTTAAGCTGCATATTTGCCTAATAACATCTTCTGTTAGAAGAGTAACACCACTGACCACTCAACTAATTATGTGTCTGCAGAAATAATATGTGTTAGGCCAAAAGAGGCTGATATTGCAGCCTAGTTTAAACCGCAATGTCCATCTGTTATATTAGGGCCAAAGCTGAATAATAATAATAATAATAATAATAATAATAATAAAAATAATAATAATAATAAAAAGAAGAAGAGGAGGAGGAGGATAAAGACGAGGAGAACTCTTAACTTAAGTCAAGGCAGATAACCCCTGTATGCAACAATTAGGGCAGATAACCCCTGTATGCAACAATTAGGGCAGATAACTCCTGTATGCAACAGTTAGGGCAGATAACTCCTGTATGCAACAGTTAGGGCAGATAACCCCTGTATGCAACAATTAGGGCAGATAACTCCTGTATGCAACAGTTAGGGCAGATAACTCCTGTATGCAACAGTTAGGGCAGATAACCCCTGTATGCAACAATTACCTTCTGAAAAACGAAGCTGCCCAGACACAGAAGGAAAAGGAGAATATACACAATGGATTTGATGACCATCAGTATGGGCTGCTCATGTACGTCGTATCGTTCTTCTTCCTCGTTCAGCTCCTGAGTTATGTCCCATGCTCTGTGAGAGGGAAATGGAATAAGTTCATCAATTATTCAGAAATCCAACTTCATAGCAAGCTGGTCAGGTATATTTGGTCCACTCTCCTTGTCAGCGAAAACCACACACACATGCATGCACATGCATACACACATGTGCACACACACATGCACACCCACTCACACACACATACCCACACATACCGACACACACCAACACACACTCACCCACACACATGCACACCCACCCACATGCATGCACACACATCTGCACCTACACACACATGCACCCAGACACACCTACACTAACACACGCCCACATGCACGCACACACACACACACACAAGAAATGTCCATAGCTGTCTTTGTGAGAAAGAAAAATGGAAACTGACTGCAGTCTTCCCAATAGTCTTCAGTTGCAAAAACCATCAATAAATTGTAAGACAGCTGCAGACAGTGCCAGCACAAACAGTCTATCACCAGAATTGCAATTCTTGGTCGGCAGTTGCATGAAGTTCCATCATTTCTGTGGCAATATACCACTCACCATTATCTTAATCTGCAGTTCACGACACTTGACGACACATACCACACTGGGCAAAATCGAAAAGTATTCCAAGTAGAAACCGCACAGTCTGGTGCCATGGACTCAACTCTGTATAGGCGACAGGTCTGTAAACTTTCTGTCCAAATATGGTGAAAATGCAACAGCCAACAGGAGCTAGAAGCAAATACAGTAACTTGCCAAAACTAACTATTGGATCCCTATTATGCCTGGACTGGAAGCCCACAGGAAAGGAAACCTACTTTTAAAATAACCACAGGAGATGAACATACCGGAAAGGATTAACTAGGATAACAAACGCCTGTAGTTGGAAAATATCGCAGCCATGTTGTAAACAGGCACAACACATTTACATCTTCAGATGAAGGAAGAAGAAGAAGAAGAAAAAGAAGAAGAAGAAGAAGAAGAAGAAGAAGAGGAAAAAGAAAAATATGTGTTAACTACAGTGAATCCACATACAGATTGTACTGAAAAATTATGATTTTTTTCTCTATGATTCTTAACACATTCAGTCTCAGACACCAGTTGTTTTAACCCATTGTCTTTCTTATGAAATAATATCTGTTGTGTTGAGTGTTGACGTTCTTCTCCCTTCCAACGTGGCAAACCGAAACAAAAAGAACATTGAGCAGGTTAGGGTGGGAGATCATGGGCTCCATTACACATAACTGGTAATAATGGGATCCAAGTCCTATAGAAGTGCGATATATTATAAATATATAAATATATATTCATAGATTTATTTGTCCGGTTTTGCCCAGGATAATGAAAGAAAGTTTTATTCTCCCATCCCCTTGTCCAGCTTTATAATGCTTTAACCAACCCCAAAACATCTAGAACTGGCCCTAACCCCAACCCATGAGAAAGTGGAGCTTAGGCCCCACGACTGCATGCAGCCTATCTACCAGCCCCTGACATATTAGACTGTCCTGTGACCTGTGGATTTCCCCAGTTTGGGGTAGGATATTAAGAACACACCATAATTTGTACAGGGTGTGGGAGCTGGCCCCAAGATGGAATGGTAGGAGTCTCCTAGACCTGGTTAAGCTTTACCTCCTTACAGCTGAGAAAGATTGTTGGGGTGTTGGGGGGGGGGGGGGGTGTCAATGCCTCAAAAGACTTGAGTCTTCAGTTTTTAACACCTATGTTCCTCACTTATCAGTTATTTGTAAGCATCAGTTATATGTGTTTATAATACAATAAAGTCATTGCATATGCTGTTCCCAAAACCTGTTGCACAGTTCCATCTCTTTTACATCTTCTTCTTCGATCCTTCTATCAGAAAACTTATATCAGCCCATCATGCAGTCCATATCTTCTCGTGTACCATATAGTACAGCTCCATGGTGCTCAGGAACTTAGAGTTGCCTACACTAATATATACAGCAAAGACACATATGCCACTTACGGCGCTGGAGCCGCTTCCTTAGGCTCCTCAATTGGGGTCTTCACACTTGTTTCATCTTCTGAACTCTCGCCGGCTGATTCTGCTGTTGTGCGAATTCTTTTAGGAGAAAATAAGTAACAAGAGAAAGCATGTCACTCCTGCAATTTCATTCATATAGTTTAAAAATGATTGGAAAGACTGAATATAGAAGAATGAATGAATGAAACAAACTTTATTCTTAAAGGGTCACAAATTGGGCAAGCAGGCCCATTTTACATTTGGCCCTTTTAAAAAATAGTCATTCACACTTGTTGTATTTTTCAATAAGCATGTTATATTTATATGATAATGTGCATATTATGAATATCAAGGAAAAAACACAAAAGCATGGGTAGTAAAATGCATGCACACACTAGCGCATGCACACACACACACACACACACACCTGTGCACAAGCACACACCCCCTCACACATGCTCACCCACTCACTTGAACACACATATATACACATCGACATACCTTTTACACACACACACGTAAACACACCCCCATTCACCCACATACATACATACCTACCTACCCACACATACACACACATTCCACCCACATACATACACACAGATACACACATGCACACAGAGACACACCCACTGAAACAAATGCACACACACAAAAACACACCTATGCGCACAGACAAACACACACACAGATACACACACACATAGACACACACATGCAAACACACAGACAGAAGAGGCAGAGACAGATCACAAGAGATGATCTTTGATGGACTGAAGCTGTGGCCTAGAAAACTATCATAGGTGAAACTGATTCAAAATATCACAGAATAAAATCTGGGGAGAGACATGAGCACCTATGTCACCTGGCAGGGCACATAATGATGATGAGTGTACTGTAGTCTTTTTCTAATGACGGACTTTCTCACTCTATTAACACATGTGGGCTCGCTCTCCCATTGTCCCATTCTTATAGCCCATGTATTCTAGTCCTTCTTCTTCCCTTTCTTATAGCACATGTATTCTGGTCCTTCTGTCTTCTCTTTCTCATAACACATGTGTAATAGTTCTCTATTTTCCTATTCTTATAACACATGTGCATTAGTTCTTTATCTTCCCATTCTTATAACACATGTACATTAGTTCTCTATCTTCCCATTCTTATAACACATGTGCACTAAAATAGTTCTCTATTTTCCCATTCTTATAACACATGTTCGTTAGTACTCTATCTTCCCATTCTTATAACACATGTGCACTAGTTCTCTATCTTCCCATTCTTATAACAGATGTGCACAAGTTCTCTATCCTCCCATTGTTATAACACATGTGCATTATCTCTTTATCTTCCCATTTTTATAATACATGTGCACTAGTTCTCTATTTTCCCATTCTTATAACACATGTGCACTAGTTCTCTATCTTTCCATTCTTTATAACACATGTGCACTAGTTCTCTATCTTCCCATTCTTAAAACACATGTGCACTAGTTCTCTATCTTCTCATTCTTATAACACATGTGTACTAGCTCTCTATCTTCCCATTCTTATAACACATGTGCACTAGTTCTCTATTTTCCCATTCTTATAACACATGTGCAATAGTTCGCTATCGTCCCATTCTTATAACACATGTGCACTAGTTCTCTATTTTCCCATTCTTATAACACATGTGCACTAGCTTTCTATCTTCCCATTCTTAAAACATATGTACACTAGTTCTCTATCTTCCCATTCTTATAACACATGTGCACTAGTTCTCTATCTTCCCATTCTTATAACAGATGTGCACTAGTTCTGTATCTTCCCATTATTATAACACATGTGCACTAGCTCTCTATCTTCCCATTCTTATAACACATGTGCACTAGTTCTCTATCTTTTCATTCATATAGCACATGTGCACAAGCTCTCCCATCTTAAAATCCTTGTGACATGTAAGTGCTAGTTCCTTTGTCTTTCCATTCTTATAACAACTGTAGGTTAGTTCTTCTATCTTCCTATTCTTGTAACACACACATGCAAGCTCTATATCTTCCAGTAAATAATCACATTACACAAGCACACATTATCCAGAATTAATTGATGAATGTCCACTTCCATGCTACCAGCTGGTGACTACCTACACTCCCAGCTCAATGTAATTTGGCTTCTACACAAAATCTGACAGCTCCGCTAGCACTCTGACCTACTTATCTCCCCTCCCCAGTGTTTTGCAGGATGTTAACCTGTCTGATGATGTCTTCCGCCTGAGCCATAATGACTTTTTTTGTTTAATCAACCATATCCAGCACTTCGTGCAAAGGATGGTCTGTGTTTGCAGCTATTCTGAGGTATGAATTCAAATGCTGCACCTTGAGCCTACATGCAACAGTCGGCAAACCCAGGATGTGGCACCACCACTACACAAGCACACTGTCAAACAGACACATACTCAGTGCTAGAGGATGCTGTGGTCTTGTTGTAGATGTAGTCATCTTGTAGAGATCCTGGGGTAGAAGTCTCCACGATCGTCTCCATTGGCACAGAGAGGATCTAGGACACAATTAGAGGAAGGCAGATAAGTTAGAGGAAAACAGGTACATGAGAGAAAGACAATTAGAAGAAGATGATGAGTTAGAGGAAGACAATAAGAGGCAGACAAATAAGTTAGAGAAAGGCAGACAACTTAGAGAAAGACAGATAAGTAAAGGAAGACAGATAAAGGAAGACAGATACTTTAAAAGAAGAGGACAAATTAGGGAAACAGATTAGTAGAGGACGATGGATAAATTAAAGCGACAGATAAGTTAGAGGACGCCATATATTTAAGATAAGAAGAGATAGGTTAGAGGACAACAAATAGAGAGCAAAAGGCAGACAGGTAGAGAAAGATTTATATATATATATATACATTTTCAAAATTTAATTACCAGGCTTCACCTGGGAAATTGAAAAAGTCCTATTCTTCCTTCTGCATCTTGGTCTCTACAACTGCCCTATATGTAAATCTAATGAAAGTAGGGGTCAAAATAAAACCTATATTTAATATTTCCTTCTCTACTTCATCTTTGTCTCCACTGCTGCCGTATCTTTAGAAATTGCCCTTAAGTGCACCCAAGACATCTCCTGTAATACTAACACCAGTACTGAACAGTTTGGGAGACAGAAAAATGTACTGTCTCAGACACATATGAATATGTGGTTTCAAGGAAGATAACGGTGAAATATAATTTTGAAATTACTTTCTCAATAGCAATAGAAAAACAGCATTCAAAGGGATATAAATCTGACACAAATTTACTTTTACTAACTGTTGCAATAAATAAAGAAATGCACAATAAGCTAGGTCGCCAATATGACTATTAGATTATTCATTGTAGTCATAATGACAAATGAAAATTAAACCTGTGTACTGGTCACAGTTTGGGAGGGGTTAACACTTCATTCTTTCTGAAAGTATTCTCAAGATAAATATGACATTTCTTGTACCTTTACCTTAAAAAAAAAACACACTGCTCTTCTCCATTTTATTTTTTCAATTGTGCACCTTTTTCTTCTCATGATAATTCTCATTAATATTTTAGTTACATGACTCATTAAACTAACTGTTTGATGTTCTCCACATTCCACTACACCAAATGTTTTTGGTAAAGTTATGAAAAGAGATTTTAAAAGGTCATCAGTGACATGTCCACTGTTATAAATATCATTGAACATTGTTTAGAATAAACACATGAAATTCATAAAATTTTCATGATTTGTAGTATAAATATAATGGAGAAAGATTTGTCTGATGTAGTTTACAGCTAGGCTGCAATATCTATGCATTATGTCAAATTATGTGCGATTTCAGGTAATCCATAATTAGGGACCTTTTATTATATGCTTGTTAGGGAAGTGGGTCTAATCCCCCCCCCCCCCCCCCCCCCCCAACCTTCCTCAAACGGGAAATGTACGCACACTAGGGTTGTAAAAGAATTGATGAATGGTAAACGGTTTCTGAAGGACACACAATCTTACCGCCATTTGGTCGTTGAGTTCCTCCTTCAATACATCAGCCATTAATAGCCTCTCTCTGCCTGTTTTGAGTTTAAACCTATCCATTTCTTTCACTCTCATCTCCTCTTCTTCTCTCAGTCTCTCTTGCTCCTGCTGCTGTCGTAGATTCTCTAATTCTGATTCTAATGCCTTCTGCACAGATTCTTTCATAAATATCTGACGAAAAAAGTCAAAGGTTATGAATTAACTTATGCAAACTGTACGAACAAATGAACAAACAAACTTATTTGTTCCCCCCAAACGCTTACAAAATGGGCATGCAGGCCTGTCTGACATTAGGCCCTTTCAAGTGCTCATCTCTCAGACGGCAATTGTATTTTATGTATCAGGCACTCTATGTTCGTGTATCCAAATGTGTATTCAAAGAGGTATGACCATAGGCACATGAGGTTTGATTATTAAAAACAGAACGGTTTGACCAGTCGCTCTACTCTTGTTGAGCTACTGAGAAGGAGATCGGAGCACCTATGGATCTGTCTGCAACGCTGTGATGATAGTCTTCACTAATTACTAACAACTAAAGATGTAGTATGACTGGGCGAATTGGAGGGAAAGTGCAAAAAAAAAGGGGGGGGGGGGCGCTGGTTATGAATGTTGACACAAAGAAAACATTGAGGGAGAGATCAGCTCCAGTGATAATTTTCTGGAGGGTAATGGGGGCCTCAGTGGTGCAGAATGCTAATAAAATAGAATAATGCATTTAAAATAGTATGAAATGCATAAACACTACCCCCCCCCTCCCCCCCCCCCCTTCTTTCCTTTACAAAATATGAGTCTCTAACACTACACAGAGTTGACTGCTCTATACAAAATATGAGTGTTTAACACTACACAAAGTTGACTGCTCTATACAAAATATGAGTCTCTAACACTATACAGAGTTCATTGCTCTATACAAAATATAAGTCTCTTAAACTATACAGAGTTGATTGCTCTATACAAAATATGAGTCTCTAACACTACACAGAGTTGATTGCTCTAAACAAAATATAAGTCTCTAACACTATACAGAGTTGATTGCTCTATACAAAATATGAATCTCTTAAACTATACAGAGTTGATTGCTCTATACAAAATATGAGTCTCTTAAACTATACAGAGTTGACTGCTCTATACAAAATATGAGTCTCTAACACTATACAGAGTTGATTGCTCTATACAAAATATAAGTTTCTTAAACTATACAGAGTTGATTGCTCTATACAAAATATGAGTCTCTTAAACTATACAGAGTTGATTGCTCTATACAAAATATGAGTTTCTTAAACTATACAGAGTTGATTGCTCTATACAAAATATGAGTCTCTAACACTATAAAGAATTGATTGGTCTATACAAAATATGAGTCTCTAAAACTATACAGAGTTGATTGCTCTATGTAAAATATGAGTCTAACACTATACAGAGTTGACTGCTCTATACAAAATATGAGTCTCTTAAACTATACAGAGTTGATTGCTCTATACAAAATATGAGTCTAACACTATATAGAGTTGATTGCTTTATACAAATATGAGTCTTAAACTATACAGAGTTGATTGCTCTATACAAAATATGAATCTCTTATAAACTATACAGAGTTGATTGCTCTATACAAAATATCAGTCTCTTAAACTATACAGAGTTGATTGCTCTATACAAAATATGAGTCTCTAAAACTATACAGAGTTGATTGCTCTATACAAAATATCAGTCTCTTAAACTATACAGAGTTGATTGCTCTATACAAAATATGAGTCTCTGACACTATACAGAGCTGATTGTTGTAAAAAAAAATGTCAATCTAACACTATATACATCTGATTGGTTTATACAAAATGTCAATCTAACACTATATACCCAATGAGCCAATGGCGTAAAAGACTTCCCAAATTAACTGTTTTATTGGTTGCTTGAACACGCTGTAAACTTCATTATTTCAAACACAAGAATGTGTTGCACTCACCTGAGTTTGGCCCACTTTATAGTCTGTATCATCCATACTGGCAACACATAGAATGTCATGGAAAAGATCAGACTTGGAGTTGGGGTCTGCTAAATCTCCATATCTTAAAAAAAAAAAGGTAATGACAGTAATTTTTAGTAAAGTAATTGAGTAATCAGGTAATCACAGTTCTAAATTTGTAGCAAACAGTGGTGCTATATTAATATCTTACCACAAACAGGAGAAATCCACAGGTCATGGTAGATACACTGCATGCATTTGTGGGACCTAGGCTGCACTCTCTTGTGGAATAGGTGGGTTGGGGTCAGGGCTAGTTGTAGATGTTTTGGGGTCCTGAAAAGCCAGGAAACTCTAAAATGTTGGACTGTACTGTGACATCATCTGGGGTAGGATATTAATAAAGAACCCAAACAGTTCACTCCATAGTTTCTCTGTTCCTGTACCAAGGAAGACCACACATAATTTCCATCACTGCCCTTTATAAAAATAGACACAGACCGTGGTCTCAGCAAAGCTAATAGAACACACATTAACGGCATAAGGCAGCTACCAGAAGTGCCAACACAAACAGTTCGACACTAGATATGCAGTTCATCATCGATGAAAGCAGCAATTACAACAGATCAGTAGTTATGACTCTGTAGCTTAATAGCTTAATGTTTCCATTCTTATGTTGTATGCTCTTGCAACCCGTCGCTTTTCTAAGATCATCTAAGATATCTAGAGCATATTTTGTTGAGCATTTAGAACCACTTCTGGTTTACTTGATCTGGCAGAGATTCATCCTGAAAATGCACACTGTATATAGTATTATTATAGGCTTATTTACTGTTAATTTACTGGCACACACAATATTGAACATTGAATTCAGTACAACTCACCGTCTTCGAAACATCTCTTTGGACAATCTGATAGGAAAACGGAAAGTTCGAATCCTGGCAATTTCCTTGACTCCATTGTAGCGCAGCTGTGCGATCACTCTTTCTCTGGAAAATACTCCTGGCATTTGCATGTCATTTGGCTTGATGCATCTTTCAAAAGAGACATACAAATGACAAGGGTTAAAGACACGCATATGCTCTTGTTACCTTCTTATATCATGAACAAAACATACTGTCTATGTTTCTAATTAGAGTTCAGCTTTCATCTGTCTTGAGGTAGACTGTCTCATTTGTTTTGATGTAACTCAACAGACACAAAACTATGACATCTGTCTCATCAGGTAACCCATCACAACCCAAATATGACAATTATTTCATGATATAACTCAACACAACCCAAGCTATGGCATTTGTCTCAACATGTAACTCAGCTGAACTAAAACTATGACATCTGTCTTTTCATGTAACTCAACATAGCCCAAACTATGGCATCTATCTCATCATGTAACTCAACACAACCCAAAAATGGCATCTATCTCACCTTGTAACTCAACACAACCCAAACTATGGCATCTGTCTTATCATGTAACTCAATTAAACCAACAACATGGCATTCGTCTTATCATGTAACTCAACACAAAATAAACTATGACATTTGTCTCATCACTTAACACAATTGAAACTATGACATCTATTTCATAATTAAATCAACACAGCCCAAGCTATGACAACTGTTTGATGATGTAATTAAATACAACCTAAACTATGACAATTATTTCATGATGCTACTAAACACAACCCAAACTTTGACAATTGTTTCATGATGTAACTTAACACATCACATCTATTTCATGATGTTGTAAGAAAACAAGAATTGGCTTGAGACTGAGAAAATCTCATAGAGATGTTCAACAAAATTTTTTTTTTTAAATATGACTACCATGTGTACCAGGACGTGACTGAGTTGGTTAGGGCCCTATGCTCTATTGCAAAACTGAGGACAGACAAGAATTAACAATTCTGATTAGTCTTCATAACAAACCTGTTGAGGAATTCTTACCTGACAAAGAAGGGATGTGCTCCTCTCATTGCGTTCAGTAACTCATCCATAGAGTTCTGGAGAACATGAGCATGGACTTTCAAGAAGGTCACAAATATCATTATAAAAATGTCAAAGAAAAAACAATGAATAAAATAAACAATGTAACAGATGTGTCAATACCAACATAACATATACAGACATATAATGTAAAGAGCAGGCTAGAAGCAGTAGCATTAGAAGAAGGAGAAGAAATTTAAAAAAGAAGAAAAAAATGTAGAAGAAGGAGGAGGAAGAAGTAAGAAAAATAAGAACGGCAGGAGTAGGAGGGGGAGCAAGAAAATGAGCAGGAGCAAGAGCAGGAGAAGGGAGGGGAGGATGTAATAATAATAATATAGTAATAATAATAATAATAATATCAATGTATACCTAATAATCATAATAATAATAAGACGAAGAAGAAGAAGAAGAAAAAGAAGGAGAAGAAAAAGAAGAAGAAGAAGAAGAAGAAGAAGAAGAAGAAGAAGAAGAAGAAGAAGAAGAAGAAGAAGAAGAAGAAGAAGAAGAAGAAGAAGAAGAAGAAGAAGAAGAAGAAGAAGAAGAAGAAGAAGAAGAAGAAGAAGAAGAAGAAGAAGAAGAAGAAGAAAAGAAAAAAGAAGAAGAAGAAGAAAAGAAAGAAAGAAGAAGAAGAAGAAGAAGAAAGAAGAAGAAGAAGAAGAAGAAGAAGAAGAAGAAGAAGAAGAAGAAGAAGAAGAAGAAGAAGAAGAAGAAGAAGAAGAAGAAGAAGAAGAAGAAGAAGAAGAAGAAGAAAAGTAGACACAAGAAGTCAAGAATGAGGAAGTGACCAATAAAACCACTGACTCTGAAGAACTTGATGTGTGTGCTGCGTTGAGCTAGATCCCCGCTCTGAAAAGTTGGATTCTTGTTTCCAAACCTGGGGAAGAAAATTAATTTCTTAGTCTATTCACGATTTTTCTCTAGCTATTGTAAGTGTTGTAGTGCCTCATGTTTTAATGTAAACTTGACATGTCCTTGTTCTCAACAGCTTCGTCTGGTTTCAACTTCTGGCTACATGCATGAAGAGACCAGCAAATTAATTGATTAGCCCCTGGTGTGTAGAAGCACATTAATGGTTTTCTTTTATGTAGTTGGTACCTTTTTGTCTCTACTGACGACAGTGTTGTGTTGTGCTTTAAAGAGGCATACGAATCCCAACTTATGGCAATGCGACGGCAAAACAGGCTAAATGTATATGTATATACATTATTTTACATACAGATATGAAACTAAATGTGGCAGACAGACAAATTAACACAACATACTGATAAACAAGACACGCTGTATGAGACCAACTAACAAAAAGACCGATACTTACTTCATTGACTGGCATCTTTCTGTCTTTCCGGACGATAGTATTATATAATGCTATGGGGAGGCCTGGGACACAACCCGCGGCGATAGCGAGTATCACTATCGAGACCAGCGGTTTTCTCATGTTTTTTTTTCAGTGTGGCACTATAATCGGGCTAAAAAAATGTTGTGGCAGTTACCTTAAAAGCGGTTGAATATTTTTGACAGGAAAAAAAACCAGTACAAATTTAATGTTCATTTGTCTTTAATGCTTTGAAAGAAACTGTTTGAATGAATTTTTCTTTATTGCTGCGGCACCCCTGGCATACGCTTGCGGCACTTTAGGGTGCCATGACACCCAGTTTGAGAACCTCTGATCTAGACCTGCCCATGTCAAGAAAACTCTTCCACAATGAGAGCATGGGATTTCAGAACCGTTGTTGTTAACATACGTATTTTGTGCACACTTTCTCAGACTGCTTTCAACTTTTCTGCAGTCAATTCTTTTTCTTGGTTCCTATACGCTTCCAGATCCCCCTCCCCCCCCCCCCTTTTCCCCCTCTAGTCAACACAGTTCATGACAGTTTGTTCCCTTGACTTCAACATGTTCTGCCCATCTTAATTTTCCTATAGAGGTGAAGATGGATAAACAGATGACAAAACAGCCAGAGAGTATCAACACCCAGGATCTTACTTCTGCTGCAGTGATGCCTTCCTGCTGGTGTTGATGCTCTGAGACATGTTACCCTCTGTTGACAATTTCCGGTACTTGGTAACTGGTTTCCTGGATCCTCGAAACTGATAGTTGGCCCTGCATGGTAGAGCAAGCAGAAAGTTGTTACACTCAAAGTGTTATAATTTAACAGTGACGCTAATAACAGCGTCCTCACTTCGGTGCATATGACAATCCTCCATTTGCTTTTGTAAGTGGGAAGATCATTCTTCTTCTTCTTTCGTTCGCCTGAAATAAGTTATCTCTTGGATAAATTTCACTGTTGTTGTTAGTTCATTCAGTGGTCCATAGAGTTTATGTTCCACTGTTGTTCTTTCTGGCCAAAAAAGTTTGCCTTGTGTCAAATTCGGTGCAGTCCTGGAGTACATGCTCTGCTGTCTGGGGCACATTTCCACAGGTGCACATCTCTGATACACCTATCTTGAATTTTGTGTACATGTGGTTACGTAATCGGTTGTGCCCTGTTCTGAGGCGGAAGATAATGACTTGTTCTGGTCTGTCCATAATAAAATAGTCGTCTTGTGCTGGGGTTGGTGGTTTCCTGATCGATTTAATGATTCTTTTCTTTTGGTGGTATGTGACTGGTACATCTGGCTGCTCTTTTTTTGCACCTTCCCCTGCCAGTTGATCAGCTTTCTCATTTCCAGGCACTCCACAATGAGACGGTATCCACTGCATTACGACTCTTTGCCGAAGGCTGAGTTGTGTCAGCAGTGTTTGCAATTCTGGTAGTTTCCTAGACTGAAGTGCTTCAAGTACAGATTTAGCATCTGTAAGCATTACCACATACTGTGAGCCAAGATTGGTATTTAGCAAGATCATTGTAATTTCTGTTAAAAAGAACTGTGACTGTCATCATCATCATTATCATCAATAGCAAAATAATTTCTCTTCATGTTAAAGAAAAAATCTGTAATTTTACTGTGCTTCCCTTGTATTATATCCACAAGCGTGAAAACCCAGAACAACAATCACGAAGAAAATAGTTTGCCTCCCACCCCATCTGCTCAACAACAAAAAAGTTGCCCATGACAAAAGCCACCTAGCAATCATTCAGCAGAAATCACCCATAAAATAGCCACCTAGCAATCATTCAGCAGAAATCACCTATAAAATAGCCACCTAGCAATCATTCAGCAGAAATCACCCATAAAATAGTTAACCCTCCCCCAATACTTTACCAGGAAAATAATCACCATGGAGTGTAGTCTACAAGAACAGTCACCAAGGAACGTAGTCTAAAAGAATCATCACCAAGAACAGTCACCAAGGAACGTAGTCTAAAAGAATCATCACCAAGAACAGTCACCAAGGAACGTAGTCTAAAAGAATCATCACCAAGAACAGTCACCAAGGAACGTAGTCTAAAAGAATCATCACCAAGAACAGTCACTAAGGAACGTAGTCTAAAAGAATCATCACCAAGAACAGTCACCAAGGAACGTAGTCTAAAAGAATCATCACCAAGAACAGTCACCAAGGAACGTAGTCTAAAAGAATCATCACCAAGAACAGTCACCAAGGAACGTAGTCTAAAAGAATCATCACCAAGAACAGTCACCAAGGAACGTAGTCTAAAAGAATCATCACCAAGAACAGTCACCAAGGAATGTAGTCTAAAAGAATCATCACCAAGAACAGTCACCAAGGAATGTAGTCTAAAAGAATCATCACCAAGAACAGTCACCAAGGAACGTAGTCTAAAAGAATCATCACCAAGAACAGTCACCAAGGAACGTAGTCTAAAAGAATCATCACCACTCAGAACAAAAGCCATTCTGAATTAAACCCATCCATAGTAAATAGCAGAAGGTAAAGGAAGGAGAGGCAGGGGCCGACTGACACGAAGATGGGCACAGGATATAAGTGACACCTTGAGTATGAAAGTACATAAGGCGGGAGAGCTGGCGAGAGACCGAGTTTTTTTCAGGCAGACTGTGATGAGAGAGACGTTCTGCAAAGGACCTGTTACATGTTGATGACTCAATTACCAGTTAAATATATGGACTGTTTGCTTTAAATCTGTATCTGTTTTTTATTTTTTGTCTACCACTAACAAGGCAAAATCAAAGCTAGATATTTGTTTACATTTAAAAAATAATTTCTTACAAGGACTTGATTATTGCATTCAGGTTGCATGCCAAATTTCGACAACTAACTGAGTTACGCATTTTAAAAGTTGGGCAGGACTCGTGGTATGGACAATCGGCAGAATAACCTCCCAGGAGCTGTGAAAGATATACGAGAATAACAAAGGAACTCTTACATGGAGATAGAGCCCGTGTGGGACTCTTGTACAGAGAACAAATCTTGGATGAGGGTGCTATCACTTGCCCGGAAGCAAGCTTTCATGGATTCACTCAGGGTGTCTCTGTTCTTCTGAATGAAGGATCGAGCATCATAGGACACCTGGATGGACGGTAAAAGAAAATTAAAAAGTGGTGATTAGAGTAACAAAGTCTGGAACTAAAACTCATGCATACACCTGTACTAAGATTACTTCACTATCTATCTATCTATTGTCTTCTTCACTTTTACCGGGTCGCAGCCCAGTGTCGTGGTACTTCACTATAACTTGACTAAATGTGTGGGGCAATAATTAGTACACAATCTACCTAGTGCAGCCTCCACAATAAAGGTTGGCTGCAATGGATTTTCAACATGCTCTGTGTCTTGTATTGGTAGACACTCTTTCAGACTGCTGTCCATTATTCATCTCTTGATGTTGTCCTTCTGCTTGTATTGTTGTCTACCTCTAAATCTATTGCCTTTGACTTCTCCCTGCAGTATAGTTTTTAAACCAATTGTTATGACTTTTTATGTGGCCAGAAAGTTTTTAATCTCTCTGGTTAAAAAATATTTTTGAGTAACTGTCTTTTTGTGTGTCATTGGCAGCCTCTGCAGAATGGAAACCATATATGACCTTATAACAAAGTTATCATGAAAAGATATCAAACCAAAGGAAAAGTGGAACCAGCCGGATACGCACTATCAGAAACACAAACGACAAGTAAACGTTGCGGTTAGAGAGTCTCTATCATTCACATTATATGAATATGCAATACCACAAATACAAAGAATACACATAATCACTGAAGCAAAGTATCTAAGAAAGACATCCACATATTTCTATCAGCAACAGTGTATTTATTTCTATTTATATATGTATCATATCTGTCTGCAAAGATGCATGTCTGTCTGCCTGACTGTCCCATTTACCTCTCCAGCAAAATGTCTAATCCGGAAATCCAGAGAGTTATGTGCTGATGGAATGAAGATACCTCCTTTACCAAACATCTTGCTCAGTTTGGTCATCAGGATCTCATCGTTGGAAAACTCAAGTTTGGAGTCCTCATCAATCATTGCCAGGATGCCAGACTTCTTCTGTAAAACAGAACAGGGTTTAGTTGACATTCTCAGAGCTGGGATCAGTTGCCTGACTACTTGTATCTTAAATGAATTTGTGGATGATGGATGGGTTTGCTGATGGATGGATGCATTTATTGATTGATGGGTAGAAGCATTGATGGAATGATGGTTGAATGCATTGATGGAATGATGGTTGAATGCATTGACTGATGGATGAATGCGTTTATTGATTGATCGGTGCAAGCATTGATGGAATGATGGTTAAATGCATTGACTGATGGATGGGTGAATCCACTGACTGATAGATGGAAGAGTGGTTAGACTGACTGTTTTTAAATGATAAATGAATGCACTAATCACAATTCTCATCGTGAACAGGTTTTCTCATCTCGTAGAAAATTTTAGCAGCACAATTCCATCGTTGTTTTTGTTGACACCTTTTCTTCATTCCACACTGAGTGTGATTAGCAAGACCAGCTGAGGTTAAAGAGGAGTTACCTCATCATAGCGCAAAGTCTGGCCAGTATTGTAGAGATCATGTATTGCCCATTCAGCATAATCCCTCACTTGGCCTACATTGTTAACTGCAAAGAACAACTAACACTAAAATGTTTAAGGAAAAACATGATACTAAACATGTTGGATCAGAAGCATAGTTCTCTCTCTGTTTGGGCTTCCATCTTAGACCAGCTGCAAGCCAAGGCTGATGGTCTAAAGTCCAGAGCCTAAAATCCAATCATTAATGCACACAATAAAAAGTCTGGGTATAGGCAGACTAAGGTCAGATGATGAACTTGAAGATGAAAGAAAAAAAGAAGAAATAACTGAGCAGACGTATAATCCAACCTCCATGAACATTCGGATAATGGCATCATTGTTGATACTCTCAATGTCCACATCTGTGATCTGCACTCCCTCCTGGAGGTAGAGTTCTCTCTCCTCCTCAATAACTCTCTTGTTCATGAAGTTCTGCAGTTGTTCATTCACCAGGTTGATACACAATTGCTCAAAGCTGTTTACCCCCAGGTCCTCGAATCCACAAATGTCCAGAATCCCAATGCTGGCCGGGTTGCTGTAGAAATTTGAAACAAGAAGTTTAGTTGGTGACAAATTCAAGGAATCTAAGTTGATAACATGAAAGGAACAAGATAACCTTGTTGTATAATCACGATACTCTCACTGGAAATAAGGGCTGCAGTTTCTCACCAACCAACAACAACAAAAAGATTACCACAAGCTTACTGAATGGTGATAGAGTGTGTAGTCTCCGGAAAATGAAGCAGAGGCCAACCTTTGCGAAGGTGGAAGGAAACAAGACACTGAAGATGCACTGGATATGAAAGCACATAGGGCTGGAGAATATACTAGAGAAAGGGAGACTTTCAGGCATGTCCTCAAGATTATAACATTCTGAAAAGGTTGTGCTGATTAGCGATGATAAACTTACTGAGATTTCAAAACCAGCACCCCATTTGAGAGGCAAGGGCTCCAACAGCTAGACCAGCTCAGTGATGATATCATAGACCTAAAAAAAACTAGCAGGAAGGTAATGGGGGAAGAAAAGGATCAGTGCATGTCCAGCTGACTATGGACACTTTAGATATTCCTGATATGTGACATCTTCTAAACTAGACTGTCCAATTGTGTATATTAAATAGCTCTATAATGTAGGTGTTGGGTGACAAACTTTGGTATAGTCTTACGCATTTTCTAATAAATTAGAAATTATCATCAACGAACAGCAAGTACTTTACAGAACGTTGCTCTCTTCACGGCACGACTGAAAATATCCCTTTGCCCATTTAGCTCTCCGGCCCCATGTGCTTTCAATCAAAGTGCATCTACAGTGTCCTGAATCCCTTTTTGCGGAGGTCAACCTCTGCCTCCCTTTCCACAGAGTGTAAAAGGTAAAAAGGCAAAGTCAGGAGATGTGAACCAGTGTCATTGCACACGGTTATAAAGCATAAGTGCTCTGACACCAGTACGGACAGCTGATAAGAAATTGTCCCTCTGTGTCACCGTTCGCACGCAACTCCATAGCTACAGCCATGTTCCTTTATTTACCCCAGAGTGTTAACTCTGGTACCCATTTCCTAGAGGCTGGGTGAACCACAGAAACCGCCCGGTTTCGAACACCAGCTGTGGGCTGCAGTGAGTCGCAGCTGGATTTGAAAGCGAGTCTCCTATTGACTGTGCTAACGCTGCCCCCACAAAGTGTACTCGGCATCACTGTCTTTTTCCAAGCCACCACGACGCTTGATGTGGTTAAAATACTTGAACTTTTGGAACAGGATGCTGTTTATGAGCCAGTTCTTCTTGATGTTTAACTCACGTAGAATGTTGATTTTTTCCCTATTCTTGATCCATGATAATCTGAGAACTTTTCTGTAACATTTTAATTTAAAAGCTCTAATCTTTTTCTTCAGTGACAGAGTGAGAGTCCAAGACTCACAACCGTAAGCTGCCACAAGAAAAATGCATGATGTCAAGATCTTTTACTTTAACTAATTTACTAGTGCTTTGTGATAGGTTCTTCACGCTGTTTAATCTCTGGTGAGATTGATGCAGGGGGGAATGACGAGAGGTTCTGGCAGATGCTCGAGGCTCAAAAGAAAGGCAAGATGTACGTTTAATCAGAATGCTACTGGCACCATTAGTATTAGAACTCTTCGCTGGCTGCTGAAGATGGGGACAGAGCGCTTATGGGAATGCCCAGAGTGCCGTGATGTCGGCTCTTGAATCAAATCAAATGAAATCAATCAAATCTGCTTTGCTAATGCGTCTTCTTCTGACTTCTTTCATGCAGTCGCCACTGTTGTTCACTACAGAACCCAAGTATTCTAGATCTGTGACATTTTCTATTTCTTTAACATCGATTGTGATATGTGGTTGGTGTGTGATATTTACTGAGGACATGATTTGAAAAAAATTCTTTAAAACAAACAAAAATTACACAGTTTAATTAAAAGACTCAAGAAAAAGTCATGACAGAAATTACGTAACCAAGAGAACTGATTCCATGGACCAGAAGCAGAGAAGCTACACTTTTTGGGCATCCCAGCATATTGAGAAAACTAGAGTGCATCAAGACAACAGAAAATATGGACAGGAAGAAAGACAGAAAGATAAAATAGAAAAGATCTTGGAGAGGTGAGTTTCATGACATGAAAGAAAATTTGTGTAACCGACACAAATATCAGTAAACTACTACTGCTGCTAATGCTGCTGCTGCTGATACTGCTGCAACTACTACAACTATTACTACAAATTCTCCTTCATCTTATTATTCTTCTTTGCATTCTCCCTCTGTGTAGTATTAAGATGAGAAGGTCATAGGCCTCTATGATGTGATAGGACGCAAGTCTTCCACTAATCCATACAGTTTGGTTTCCCTTGGAATGCCAAGCGACCAAACCTGAAATCTCTCAACGGCACAAAAAGAGCATGTCTGCAACATATGTTCTGTATTCTGTTGTTACTATCCACATGGAAAAAGTTCTGAATCTCCATTTTTGTACGAATGGCTACAGTCTAAATATAACGGTCTGTTTCTTTAGTCTAAGGAGGCTTATTGGGTTTGCAGGGTTGGGTCCTGGATGGGATGTCAGTAAATGAGACATAATCTTTGGGCAAAGTTGACGAAGAGGCACGGTAAAGACTATAACAAGAAATCACAATTACAGAGTCATGATGACACTGCTTGTATGTAGTACCTGAAAGATCTCAGTGAATCGTTAATTTTCCTGACCAGCCAGCCAAACAGTCTCTCGTACAGAGACTTGGCCGTGGCATCCCTCTCATCGTCTGCTTGTTTCTTGTTCTTGGATAGCTCAAGTATTTCTCCTGAAGGGAACAGAGATAGACAGTCATTTACATTTACGAGTGGGCTGACCATTTAGGCTTGTTCTCAGTGTAGTCTTTATTTTTCATGTATAAATATGATGTCTATGGTGTCTCAGTAGCATAAATAAGTATTTGCGTAAGTCGAAATGATTTGACTAAGGGATAGGACCCAGATTATATCTAAAGGATTAATCTATAGCATGCATAAATACTGATTATTGACTTAAGAATCGACATTAAAGTACAACGGACATACCCATAGATGCTCCGTCTTCCACAGCAAATATCTTGAAGTGTAGATGCTAACTCTTTCCGTAGCACACTGATCATACATACATCGTTTTCTTCTTATACATCTAATTCCCATTGTTACATAGGTTATTTTATCTAGTCGTCCATCATCACTCGTTCATAAATGGTCCTTGGCATTTCTCCTTTGTCCAGTATGAGTGTTCCTGTAGCTATCGCTTTTTAAGCCAAGCAATCTGCTTTTTCAGTCTCTTGTATTCCTACAGTTTCTAGCCATTATATCAACGCAAGTCCCTGTTATGTTGACTTGCTGCTTTTTCTTCTTCTTCTTGTTTAAACAAAAATTCTTCTTTATGTCCTCTTTTACTGGTGTCGAGGGAGATATAAGGTCCTGCTTCGTGCTCCTCTGGCTGCCCTGTAGAGTTTTTATGATGTTATCTGCCCAACTTGTTCTTGGTCTACCTCTTGCTGTATGTCCCTTTCCTCTTTTGGCATGAGCCTTGTATGGTGTAGCATCAGAAGGTATTCTCTCAAAGTGGGCCAATCATTTGATTTGCTGTCTTTGTATGTAATTTAGAATTGGTTCTGTGCCGATTTTATCTCGTATGACCTCATTCTTGATTTTTGTCTCTTTTGGTCACTCCTACAGACTTTCCCTGACACTTCATTTCCAAGGTCCTAATTTTCTTTTGCTCTGTTGTGAGTGACCACATCTGGCACTGGTAGCATAGGGTGGGAATGAATATGCCATGTATGAGATGTCTCTTTGTGCTGATTAAGATTGTCTTATGCTGTAAGAGGGGGGAGGGGGGCTAGTTGTCCCAATACTTGGCTTGCTTTACTGCATCGTAATACCGACCCAATCGCCGTTCGGTAAGCTTATGGTAATCTTTTAAATATTTTGATGATGAGAAAGTGCAGCCCTTATATTCAGGGAGAATATCCAGGTCACAATGCTACATATATTTAGCCCGGAAGTAAACTTTAACAAAGGTTAGTTGCGTATCCTTTACAGGACGTTGCAGAACCAACCCCAACAGCCCCTGGCTGTTGTGTGGTTTTTCTAGGCAATTACGTCCAGTAGTTTGCCATTGCTTTCTGGACGGTCTGCTTTCTTGATACCACTGTCGAAACCAACGCAAGGCGCAAGACCCGCAGCTGGGATCAAACCCGGCATCCCGGCATTGCGAAGCGTTCGCATCGACTTAGCCACAAAGAAACTTTAATAAACAGACTGAAATAAATAAATTTCAAAGTATAAATAAAGCATTAAAAAAAAAAAAAAAAAAAAAAATCGGTGTCAACGGAATAAGTCCGCAGCAGGCTAGTTGTCTCAAAACTAAAAAGCACAACTCATAAAGTGAATTGGTCCGTTCTACCAGAAGCAGACGACCTTTTTCTTTCAACAAGCCATGAAAGTTAGTTGCAGTGGAGAATATCAAAGCCAAATAAAAGCTGGTTAGTATGAGAGATTGCATTACACAAAACATAATTTTGGAATCACATGGATAGCTTGGCCTCATGGTGAACTCTCACCTGATGCCTGAGTCTAGTTTTCATTTGAGTTTCTACTGATGACTGTTTATGCTGTCTACACATGACCTTCGATATAAAGTCAATAAAGTATCATGGGAAATATTAAGCTGGTCAATTTTATACTTACTTTGTAAGACCCCTTTTTTGTGGTGGCTGCCTCCCCTGTCTGAATGGAAGATGCTAATCCCCCTATTTTAGGTGGGAGCTACCACTAAACTCTGTAGATGGGGATGCTAATCCCCCTATTTTAGGTGGGAGCTACCACTAAACTCTGTAGATGGAAGATGCTAATCCCCTTATTTTAGGTGGGAGCTACCACTAAACTCTGTAGATGGGGATGCTAATCCCCCTATTTTAGGTGGGAGCTACCACTAAACTCTGTGGATGGGGATGCTAATCCCCCTATTTTAGGTGGGAGCTACCACTAAACTCTGTGGATGGAAGATGCTAATCCCCCTATTTTAGGTGGGAGCTACCACTAAACTCTGTGGATGGAAGATGCTAATCCCCCTATTTTAGGTGGGAGCTACCACTACACTATATGGATGGGAGCTGCCATTTCTCCTCTTTCGTTCGGTGTAGATCTGTATTTTTGTTAGAGATTGTTACCCCCACCCCTCTTTTGATGTAAGTTACCACTGTCCCTATGTTAGTGGAGACTGCCTCTCCCTCTCTTAAGGTGTAGCATGCTACACTCCACTTAGTGTGGTGGACCGGGGTGTTCAGATTTGAACAGTTCTAATGGTTTGGAATTTGATAAAGATAGAGGCCACAGAATGGTTGTGTTGAATGATGATGAATGAAATCCCTTGCATCAGAAGTCAGTCAGTCACTCAGACTGAACTAGCCACACTCAACCTCTAACCAGCGAGCAGGCTTGTCTGATGTAGCTTTGGTTACAGTTGTTGCTCCAGATACTTATGCTACTTTATAGTGTTTGTGCTTGATACATAAATTAGTTTGAGCTGATGAAAAGAGAAGGATCTGGACAAATAACGAAAGACCAGTACACCAGAAAGACATGAGGAAGAACAAAAGAGCAGTACAGCATAAAGACATGAGGAAGAACAAAAGAGCAGTACACCAGAAAGACATGAGGAAGAACAAAAGAGCAGTACACCAGAAAGACATGAGGAAGAACAAAAGAGCAGTACAGCATAAAGACATGAGGAAGAACAAAAGAGCAGTACACCAGAAAGACATGAGGAAGAACAAAAGAGCAGTACACCAGAAAGACATGAGGAAGAACAAAAGAGCAGTACAGCATAAAGACAGAAGGAAGAACAAAAGAGCAGTACAGCATAAAGACAGGAGGAAGAACAAAAGAGCAGTACAGCATAAAGACAGAAGGAAGAACAAAAGAGCAGTACAGCATAAAGACAGGAGGAAGAACAAAAGAGCAGTACAGCATAAAGACATGAGGAAGAACAAAAGAGCAGTACAGCATAAAGACAGGAGGAAGAACAAAAGAGCAGTACAGCATAAAGACATGAGGAAGAACAAAAGAGCAGTACAGCATAAAGACAGGAGGAAGAACAAAAGAGCAGTACAGCATAAAGACATGAGGAAGAACAAAAGAGCAGTACAGCATAAAGACATGAGGAAGAACAAAAGAGCAGTACAGCATAAAGACATGAGGAAGAACAAAAGAGCAGTACACCAGAAAGACATGAGGAAGTACAAAAGAGCAGTACACCAGAAAGACATGAGGAAGAACAAAAGAGCAGTACAGCATAAAGACATGAGGAAGAACAAAAGAGCAGTACACCAGAAAGACATGAGGAAGAACAAAAGAGCAGTACACCAGAAAGACATGAGGAAGAACAAAAGAGCAGTACAGCATAAAGACAGAAGGAAGAACAAAAGAGCAGTACAGCATAAAGACAGGAGGAAGAACAAAAGAGCAGTACAGCATAAAGACAGAAGGAAGAACAAAAGAGCAGTACAGCATAAAGACAGGAGGAAGAACAAAAGAGCAGTACAGCATAAAGACATGAGGAAGAACAAAAGAGCAGTACAGCATAAAGACAGGAGGAAGAACAAAAGAGCAGTACAGCATAAAGACATGAGGAAGAACAAAAGAGCAGTACAGCATAAAGACAGGAGGAAGAACAAAAGAGCAGTACAGCATAAAGACATGAGGAAGACCAAAAGAGCAGTACAGCATAAAGACATGAGGAAGAACGAAAGACCAGTACAGCATAAAGACATGAGGAAGAACGAAAGAGCAGTACACCAGAAAGACAGGAGGAAGAACGAAAGACCATCACCAATTAAGTTAAACATCAGCTCTGCAATATTAAACCAACCCCAGATTAGATGTTCTGTTTTACCTGTCGCAGGATCATCGCTGTCATCAATGGTTCTCCGAGAGACTCCAAACATCTCATTATCAAGTTTGTTACCTGTAAGATCAACAGGGGCGACAATTTCTTACATAAATTACGCAGACAAACAATAGCCGTTTGCTGCCCTTCATGAATTCTCTCGTTGCCATGCCGCAGTTTGCCTAATGCTAGATATATTGATGGCCGTGAGACAAGTGCAGTTTATCAATATAAATCAGCTAATGTACACATAAAGCGACAGACACGGTTTTATTTAGAAATATATTGCATTTAGGGAACAAAGGCCCTTTTCCACACCATTAGGAATATTGGGAATTTAGGGCTACCCCTATAATTTATAGACCAGTTGACACTCAGTTAGTGATGTGGAGAACATCACCCGGCCGCTTTTACTTTCCATAACTTAATACCTGATACCCATTATAACCGGGTCGACCTGGGAGTCAAGGTCATTTTTTAAGAAAAAAGTCAGGCTCTATCAGGATCCGAGCCCACCACCTTCAGATTCACAAATGAGCGTCTAGCCGTTATACCACAGCGGCTACCACTAATGGAATAACCCACGCCTTTTATGGAATAACATGGCTTATATGGAATAACACATGCCTTTTATGGAATAACATGACTTTTATGGAATAACCCATGTTTTTGTGTGGAATAACATGGCTTGTATGGAATAACCTATGCCTTTTATGGAATAACATGGCTTATATGGAATAACCCATGCCTTTTATGGAATAACAAGGCTTATATAGAATAACCCATGTTTTTTGTGGAATAACAAGGCTTATATAGAATAACCAATGTTTTTTGTGGAATAACAAGGCTTATATAGAATAACCCATGTTTTTTGTGGAATAACATGACTTATATGGAATAACCCATGTTTTTTGTGGAATAACATGGCTTATATGGAGAAAACAAACAAGGTATGGACTTAGTTGGGCAATACATAGTCACAAACCATGCACTGAATCAAGGGGAAGTAAGTAAGTAAATGTTTCCTTACTAGGACATCATGCAGAGTGACAAAGACAAAGTGATACAAAGTACCCCCATGCGGATAAGGATCATCCGTGGAGAGGTCTTGGAAACCTTGTTTAACAGTTAGGATAATATGGCTCCCTGTCAACAGCCAGGGTGGGGCTTCAAAATAAGGCAAAATTGTACCAGACAAGGGTATAACTTCAATGATTAATCGAGGGGAAAACATATCTTGTATGGAGTATACTGTGATTTCTACAAAGTTTACCATTAACATACAGTGACTTGTTTAGCATCAAATCTGTTTAGAAAATAATTTGCAGAAAAACAGCCACAAAACTATAAGCAAAGACATATTCACTGTTCTGGCAGAGGATTCAGAAACGTAGCGAAAGTGGAATCACACCAGAACAGTAGACAAAAAATACACAGAAACATAAGACAGGAAATACAACTACGTAACACAGGGGACATAACTGGCTTTTTACAATAGTATGCAGATTGTAAATACTTGTAGAAATAACAAAATTGTAACATATATAGTCTTCATATCCTCCTCTTCATGTCCTCGAATCTCTCTATCACTTCTTTTTTGACTTTTAGGACATCCTTTTTTGAGGGAGAGTGTCATCACCATCATGTAGCAAGTCTTTTGCAGAACATCGCTCTAGCCACAGTCCGCCTAAAAGAAACTCGGCCTCTCGCCAGCTCTGCCGCCTCGTGTACTTTCATATTCGAGGTGTCACTTATATCCTGTGCCCATCATCGTGTAAGTCAGTCGCTGTCCCTCCTTCCTGGTACCATGCTTTCTGCTATTATTTTTTCCAATCTGCCCTGGCGCTTGATATGACCAAAATATTTCAGCTTCTGAGACAAGATGCTGTTAAATAGCCAATCTTCCTTGATGTTCAGATCTTTTCAAATATCAGTATTTCTTTCTTCTTTGTCTATGGTATTCTGAGAATCTTTCTATAGCATTTCAGATCAAAGCCCACATTTTCTTTCCTTAGGACTGGGAGATAGTCCACGACTCACATCCGTATGTTGCTACAGGAAAGATGCATGCTCTCAAAGTTTTAATTTTGATCTCCTCGCTAGTGCTTAACTATTAACTTTTAATACATTATTTATCCCTCCCTTCCCCCACCCCACCCCAAAATAGTGCCATAGAACCCAGTTAGGGAACAAGAGAAATAACTTAAAAATTAAACAAAAGTTAAACAAAAACAGTAGCAAACCAAATAAACAAACCCAAATTTGCATGAATATTACTAGCAGGAAAATCATTTTAGTAAAGTCACAAGCAAAATTAAAAATTAAAAAATGATGACTGCCTCTTTCTGATGTTTGTGATAAGTTGTCTTTGAGCGCTCTCCTCTTTTGAAAGATCTGGGATGTTCATTCTGGTTGTCCAATAAATTGTGATAATTCTTCTGCAACAAGCTATGATTAAATCATGTTTAATACTTCTTATGTTAACTCTTCTTTTTTTCACATCTTCTGCTAGATAACATTTACCTCTTTTTCTAGATGTAAATAAAAGGAATATCAAATTAGGAAAAGAGACCAGTAAAACATAAACAGTCAAAATACCCCATTATAATTTCTTATTTGTCCTTTCGAACATTATTCTACATAATACTGCATAATAAAAATTCACACATTGTAAGAGTTCATAACAAATACTGAATAATGCTACAGAAATACTGGCAGAATGACAGTAAAATAGAAAAGGAAAGATACATATTTTCTCAACTAATTTAGAAGACAGAAAAAGCCAGTAGCTAGTGTATAAAGTCTACTTACAAGGTGCGAACCAAATGTTTTGGCGAAAACTGTTGTAATAAACTACAGTGAATTCTTATCTGGATATAAAAGTTTTTTAAAAAAAGGAGGGGGGGGGGGGGTAGGGGGGTTACCATGGTCGTTTTGACAGTACCTGACGAACAGATTCAATGTTTTCATTTGTTCTGGTAGTCTAGAGATGATCACTTCTGCATTGCCTTTACAGTTTTCCTTCCGTCTCGAAACCCCACAGCAAATTTACAGATTTAAAAATAAACTTTAAACATCTTTGTTCTTTGATTGAAACAATGGGGGGAAAAGGATGGGTGCTCTATTAATATCTTACCCCAAACAGGGAAATTCACAGGTCACGGGAGAGTCTAATATTTCAGGGGGTGGTAGATAGGCTGCATGCAGCCATGAGATATAAGCTGCACTCTTTCGTGGGACCTAGGTGGGTTGGGGTATGGGCCAGTTTTAGAGGTTTTGGGGTCGTTAAAAGCATCAGAAAGCTGGGAAACCCAGTCTCACCACCCTCTAAGATTTTGGACTGTCCTGTGACATCATCTGGGGGTAGGATACTATTGAAGCACCAAAGGGTGGGAGATGTTTCATAATAACTTGTAAAAACAAGTTTGTACTCTTAGATTACTCATTTTAACTGGTTGAAACTTAACCACTTGTTACAAGAAGCAGATTACGGTGTTACTGTGATAGTGCGAGTGCTTACACAGTACTGTTTCAGAAACAATTGATCTCAAAACCTTTGGGTCGCATCTTGTAAATTCTACACTAGTTCAGAAGCCAGAACTGTATTTTAGAAAGGTTGATCTACCTCTGCTGGGTGTTTTCAGTAGAGACGATGCATCCATAGATGTCTTGCTCTTTGGGGTTTTGATCTCGTACAGTGTATTCTGATCTGTGAACACACAGAATGTTTGAACAGTATCTACCTGTCATTGATGGTAAATTAAGAACATTTTAAAGTACATAATTTAAAAAAAGTACATTATAAAATATAATAAAAATTAAGTATATAAAAAAAAATACCACACAATTAGTTATACTAGAAATTGGAGGATCAAATTCATTGCGTCAAATTCATTTCCATATGGCTAAATGTCTACCAGTGAAAGCATTGCACAAAACATGAACACCATTAGCAGAGTCACCCATTACCAAGATAACTAAAACATCTCTGCTAACGAACAGAAAGACAGAATCAGAAATTATATCATCGAGACACCCGTACGCAGATATATTTATGTTGGGTGATGGCGTGGAAGTTATCTCAATGATGATAATGATGATGACAAAGCTTTTATTATTGCTGTAGCTGTTGACGTTGATGATGTTATGATGTTGATTTAAAAAGAAAAGATTTTGCAGGTAATAGTGGTGGTAATGATGATAGTAATGCCAATAATAGTGGTGGTAATGATGATAGTGATGCCAATAATAGTGGTGGTAATGATGATAGTGATGCCAATAATAGTTGTGGTAATGATGATAGTGATGCCAATAAAAGTGGTGGTAATGATGATAGTGATGCCAATAATAGTGGTGGTAATGATGATAGTGATGCCACTAAAAGTGGTGGTAATGATGATAGTGATGCCAATAATAGTGGTGGTAATGATGATAGTGATGCCAATAATAGTGGTGGTGATGATGATTGTGATGCCAATAATAGTGGTGGTAATGATGATAGTGATGCCAATAATAGTGGTGGTAATGATGATAGTGATGCCAATAATAGTGGTGGTAATGATGATAGTGATGCCAATAATAGTGGTGGTAATGATGATAGTGATGCCAATAATAGTGGTGGTAATGATGAAAGTAATTGTGGTCATCTCATCTTTATTCATCTCTGGGGAAGGGTGAGTCGAATATACAATCAGTCAGATACTGGAAACACTGGAATTGTAAATCTTTGCTTGCTGCTGAAGATGGGGGTGGAGCGCTTATGGGAATGTCCTGAGTGCTGTGATGTCGATTCTTAATTCAACATTCAATCCTATTTTATTGTGAGCCTCTGGTCCCTGATAACCCTTGGGGTATCGAGATAAAGTATAATTTACGAGAAAGCACCCATTTATGTGCTTTGTAGATGGGAATTCAAGATCAAATTCCAGATCTGGACGAACATCCCTATCTTTGTGTCAGAGTTTACAGCCAATAAACCTAAGAAGATGAAGATCTTCAGTGCTAATACTGATGATTTTGATGACGAAACAGCCTTTATCTTACCAGTTCCGAGTCTACCTGTGCGTTCTATGAGAACCTTCGTCAGCTTCTCAGCATCCAGCTGTAGCAAGGTGGCCACTGAAGAAAACAAGAAAAAAAAAAACACCACAGCATAAAATAGACGTATACTTCAGCCTGCCTCTCACAACTATCTACTTCACAAAATTCTTACATCAGCCTGCCTCTCACAACTATCTACTTCACAAAATTCTTTCATCAGCCTGCCTCTCACAACTATCTACTTCACAAAATTCTTACATCAGCCTGCCTCTCACAACTATCTACTTCACAAAATTCTTACACCAGCCTGCCTCTCACAACTATCTATTTCATCAAATTCTTACACCAGCCTGCCTCTCACAACTATCTACTTCGTCAAATTCTTACATCAGCCTGCCGCTCACAACTATCTATTTCATCAAATTCTTACACCAGCCTGCCTCTCACAACTATCTACTTCGTCAAATTCTTACATCAGCCTGCCTCTCACAACTATCTACTTCATCAAATTCTTACATCAGCCTGCCTCTCACAACTATCTACTTCATCAAATTTTTACATCAGCCTGCCTCTCACAACTATCTATTTCATCAAATTCTTACATCAGCCTGCCTCGCACAACTATCTATTTCATCAAATTCTTACACCAGCCTGCCTCTCACAACTATCTACTTCGTCAAATTCTTACATCAGCCTGCCTCTCACAACTATCTACTTCATCAAATTCTTACATCAGCCTTCCTCTCACAACTATCTATTTCATCAAATTCTTACATTAGCCTGCCTCTCACAACTATCTACTTCGTCAAATTCTTACACCAGCCTGCCTCTCACAACTATCTACTTCATCAAAATTCTTACATCAGCCTGCCTCTCACAACTATCTACTTCACAAAATTCTTACATCAGCCTGCCTCTCACAACTATCTACTTCACAAAATTCTTACATCAGCCTGCCTCTCACAACTATCTACTTCACAAAATTCTTACATCAGCCTGCCTCTCACAACTATCTACTTCACAAAATTCTTACATCAGCCTGCCTCTCACAACTATCTACTTCACAAAATTCTTACATCTGCCTGCCTCTCACAACTATCTATTTCATCAAATTCTTACACCAGCCTGCCTCTCACAACTATCTACTTCGTCAAATTCTTACATCAGCCTGCCTCTCACAACTATCTATTTCATCAAATTCTTACACCAGCCTACCTCTCACAACTATCTACTTCGTCAAATTCTTACATCAGCCTGCCTCTCACAACTATCTACTTCATCAAATTTTTACATCAGCCTGCCTCTCACAACTATCTATTTCATCAAATACTTACATCAGCCTGCCTCGCACAACTATCTATTTCATCAAATTCTTACACCAGCCTGCCTCTCACAACTATCTACTTCGTCAAATTCTTACATCAGCCTGCCTCTCACAACTATCTACTTCATCAAATTCTTACATCAGCCTGCCTCTCACAACTATCTATTTCATCAAATTCTTACATTAGCCTGCCTCTCACAACTATCTACTTCGTCAAATTCTTACACCAGCCTGCCTCTCACAACTATCTACTTCATCAAATTCTTACATCAGCCTGCCTCTCACAACTATCTACTTCATCAAATTCTTACACCAGCCTGCCTCTCACAACTATCTACTTCGTCAAATTCTTACATCAGCCTGCCTCTCACAACTATCTATTTCATCAAATTCTTACACCAGCCTGCCTCTCACAACTATCTACTTTGTCAAATTCTTACATCAGCCTGCCTCTCACAACTATCTACTTCATCAAATTTTTACATCAGCCTGCCTCTCACAACTATCTATTTCATCAAATTCTTACATCAGCCTGCCTCGCACAACTATCAATTTCATCAAATTCTTACATCAGCCTGCCTCTCACAACTATCTACTTCGTCAAATTCTTACATCAGCCTGCCTCTCACAACTATCTACTTCATCAAATTCTTACATCAGCCTGCCTCTCACAACTATCTATTTCATCAAATTCTTACATTAGCCTGCCTCTCACAACTATCTACTTCGTCAAAATCTTACACCAGCCTGCCTCTCACAACTATCTACTTCATCAAATGCTTACATCAGCCTGCCTCTCACAACTATCTACATCATCAAATTCTTACACCAGCCTGCCTCTCACAACTATCTACTTCATCAAATTCTTACACCAGCCTGCCTCTCACAACTATCTACTTCATCAAATTCTTACATCAGCCTGCCTCTCACAACTATCTACGTCATCAAATTCTTATACCAGCCTGCCTCTCACAGCTATCTACTTCATAAAATTCTTACACCAGCCTGCCTCTCACAACTATTTACTTCATCAAATTCTTACATCTGCCTGCCACTCACAACTATCTACTTCATCAAATTCTTACATCAGCCTGCCTCTCACAACTATCTACTTTATCAAATTCTTACAACAGCCTGCCTCTCACAACTATCTACGTCATCAAATTCTTACATCAGCCTGCCTCTCACAACTATCTACTTTATCAAATTCTTACATCAGCCTGCCTCTCACAACTATCTACTTTATCAAATTCTTACAACAGCCTGCCTCTCACAACTATCTACGTCATCAAATTCTTACATCAGCCTGCCTCTCACAACTATCTACTTTATCAAATTCTTACATCAGCCTGCCTCTCACAACTATCTACTTCATCAAATTCTTACTTCAGCCTGCCTCTCACAACTATCTACTTCATCAATTTCTTCCCAGGATTCATCACATCTGCTGTGAAGATATTTTATAGGTTCCCAAACTGTGTTTTAGGGGGGTAGTGCCCTACCACTCCTTTAATCGTTCCATCACACACAGGACTGGTAAGTAAACAGTGAGAACCCTTTCCCATGTCTTCAGGTGTATTGGGCATACAGTGCTTGATCTAAATTTATAGACCAATCAGCACGGGGGGATTATGTGGTCAGCATCCTGCTGGCCGCTTTTACTGCCAAGGACTTTACCTGGTACCCATTCAAGGCTAGATCGATCTGGGAGCCCATGTCTTTTTTGAAAAATCTGGCTCCGTTCAAATTTGAGCCCACAATCTTTGGATCTGTAAGATCACTGTCTTTTAGAAAATAAAATATACTACCTCCTCAAAGCTTTGCAAACAGCTCTAAAATTTGATAAAGTCAGAGTACTGTTCGTTTCTGAGACATGATCTTATTTAAGACCCAGTTCTTTTTCATGTTCATCTTTTGAAGAATGTCGTTATTTTTCTTCTTCTCCATCGAAGTTATTTTACGAATTGTTCTATGACCTTTATAGTTCAAATATTCTGATTGTTTTCATGTGCTAATTGTTTGCGTGTGTACAGTTCCCTTTCTCCCGGCTACAAACTGAAGAGTAGACAACCTCACGTTACACAATCTGCTTCTAAATGGCAGTCCAACAGGAAAAGTCCCAGATACCTCCTTCAACCTCAAGAGACATAATGGCCACACCAACCTTATGGAACCTGCAGTCCATGCGACATGTCATAATTGTGAAATGATCAATATTTATATGTGTATAATTTGTAACTTAAAAGTGATACAGAGTTTAATACAATTATGCATGCTTTAAAATAAATAGTGATATCATTTCACAATCAATTAATTGTGTACAAGTTAATTTTTGACACTTACACATTTAATTAATAGTCACATTATTATGTTAATCATCATCATCATACCCTTTTCCACAGTGTCTTCATTCTTGATGATCACAGAATCATTGTCACTTTCCTCAAACAGCACATTACCCAAATGAAGGATAGCAGCCAGGATTGTATAGATGTCTTGTATCTCCTGAACAATGGACAAACAAAGCCATTTTAATTCCTCTTATTCTTGTTTGCTCCTTTTTGTTAATTTCTCTCACCTTCTTCCCTTTTCGTCACTTTTCTTTTTTTCCTGTTTTCTATTTACCTCTCTTCCTACTTTACCCATATTCTCCTACTCCACCTCTTTCTCCTAATTCTGCCTCTGCTGCTGCAGCACACTTAGCTTCTTCTTTTTCTTTCTCTTCTTCTTCATTTTCTTCTTCTTCTTCTTTTTCTTCTTCTTCTTCTTTCTTCTTCTTCTTCTTCTTCTTCTTCTTCTTCTTCTTCTTCTTCTTCTTCTTCTTCTTCTTCTTCTTCTTCTTCTTCTTCTTCTTCTTCTTCTCTTTCTTCTTTTTCTTCTTCTTCTCCTTCTTTTTTCTTCTTCTTCTTCTTCTTCTTCTTCTTCTTCTTCTTCTTCTTCTTCTTCTTCTTCTTCTTCTTCTTCTTCTTCTTCTTCTTCTTTTTCTGTGTTCAAAATCAGCCATGCTAAACATACAGACTTCTCTTAGAAAGAGAAGTGCATTGGGGTTCGTAAAAAAAAGCCAATGGAAAATCTTTAGTGCAAGACAGCCTAGTGTATGACACAACATCATCTAGCATGAGAATGGAGGTGGAGGCGGTAAGTGCAGCTCTCCGGTGGCTAGAGAACAAGATACATACACATGGCGTAATTGTAACAGACTCTGAAAGCATGCTGGAAAAAAAAAAAAAAAAAAACCAAAAAAAAAAACAAAAAAACAAAACAAAAACAAAAAAAAAAAAAAAAAAAAAAAAAAAAAAAAAAAACCACAACAAAAACAACAAAAAAAAAAAATGAGGACAGGGAGGCTTCAGCAGGGTGGGAAGCTTCACTGGAAAGGTCACGGGTGGTGAGCATACTTTGGATCTTTTCCCCAGGCCCTGCCGGCGTTGTGGGTAATGAACAGGCAGGCAAATTGGCTGGATCTGCACCACTGGGTGGTGAATTGATACATGACAAGACAGATGTGGTCAAGGACCTTTGGGAACAAGCAACAGAATCAGTAGAGAAAGAAGATTATTATGGCCTGGAGAGAATAAGGCACCTGGGTGTAACCAGAGGGTCTGGCCGGCTCACTACACTCAGAGGAAAGGCAAGACGGACATATAACCAGATCGTGACCGGTACCATCAGTATTGGAACTCTGGGCTAGCTGCTGAAGATGAGGATGGAGCATACATGGGAATGCCTGAGTCCTGTGATGTCAATTCTTGACTCAACTCAACTCAACTCAATTTCTCTTGGTAATAAACAGGGCTCGTCATTTGTGCAATGCTTAACAAACTTCAGTAAGTATTTAGTACACTCACGTCGTCAGTGAGTTTAATCAGCTTGAAGGCATCCTGCATGAGTTCAAAGAAAGTCTTGTACAAGCTTTTCTCACCCCCGGCATAGAAGGAATTGTTGCCAGTCACCCTGTCAAAAAGAAGAAGAAAATTCTAAGCAAAGACCAATAAAAAGAATGCCCTATGTACATCCTCTTTATTTCAGTATTGACGCATAAGGTACTCATGGGTGATCTCATTGCTTCCCGTTTCTTGCTTCTTTGTCTATGACATCTCATGTCATTGTTACGTTTCTTCATTTCCCTTTCTTGCCAAAATGCCACGAAGAATCCTACAAGCATGTCCAAGCCATCTCCATTTTCTTCCTTTGATAAAGTTTGTTAATGGGGGATATTTTGTGTAGCTATCATTTTACAATATGCTAAATCAATCAATCAATCAATCAATCAATCAATCAATCAATCAATCAATCAATCAATCAATCAATCAATCAATCAGTTGCCGTGCCCATAGAGAAGGTTGGCTGCAATAGATCTCCAACACCCTATGACTCTTGTCCTGATGGTGCACTCTTTCAGACTGCTCTTTATCCATCTCTTGAAGTTCTCCTCCACTTGTATCCCTGTCCACCTCTTGGTCTCTTGCTTTGGACTTTTACCTCCAGTATGGTTTTTAAAAGCGAATTATGTCTCCCAATGAGACATATTTAGAGTGTCCGCTTTGTATTTCAGTAAGACTCTTTTCATTCGTAGTGTCTTTAGAACCTCTGTATTTGATTGTTTTGTTTTTCATGAAATACGGCCTAAGCCTAAACTTTACGTAAATTGTGCCATGGACAGAAAGATTTGTAACTTTCGTGTGGGTATGTGTGTGTGTGTGTGTGTGTGTGTGTGTGTGTGTGTGTGTGTGTGTGTGGTGTTCGTGATTGTGTGGGTATGTGTGTATATACGCACGCACAAAAGTCCAGTTATATAGCTGAACGGTGTGTCAGACCTAAACACACCTGAAACATGAAAGTTTCTATTTGATTACGAACATAATGAAGTGCTAGCTACCCACCTAAACTGCTCATGGCGGCTGATGAAAACCGACTGCAGGATCTGGTCAGAGGCACCGACCAGGAAGGAGTAGAAAGCATGAAACGTTCGCTCCCCGGGCGCGTGATGCACGACGCGAGATTTCTCCAGCATGTAGTCTTTGACTCGAGCTGTAGACACATCAAGTGATGACTTCAACACTAGTTGTATACCTAGTTTCAGTTAGGTGTTTACAAGAACATCTGGTGCAATAAATCTATGCCCCTGGAAGTTGGACACAGAATTATGGCATGTTTTACAGAGCTAGTTTAAACCTATAGCTGTGAACTGTGGACAATTAATAAAACAAGCTAAACAGTTTTCTTAAGACCTCAGAAATAAGGTTTCACATGAAAAATATTAAAATTCATCAGAGAATACACACACATGCGCGTGCACGCACACACACACATACGCACGCACGCATGTATGCATGCACGCACGCACAACAGCAACCCAAATGTGTTGAAAGTCACGTATTGCGCTGTTGAGCACTTAAAAAATAATCTCTTGGCAGTTAGAAATCGAAAAGAGTAGCCTAACGGCGCTGCCCGGGCAAAATTTGCAGTTAAAAATCTACCCATAGTATTTCAGAATCCTCGCCGGTGCTACTGGGTTCTTACTTTGCGCTGAGATTCTTCGGACTCAGGCGTGAGTCAGACGTAGAACGAAGCACCTATGGGTTACAACCCGTGTGCCATGACGCTGATCCGTCGGCTACAGCTAAACCTAAAACTCGAAACAGACGAGGGCTCAAAGACAATTTATTCCAAACACAAGAAACAGACCGTCATCATTTAGGTATCATATTATGATAAAAAGGAAAATGAAACCTGGTGTTACCATTAGCAAAAAAATGTGGAAAAAAGAGACAAGAGGAAGACAACGCGAGAAGATTCTTGACAACCTTTTATCAGGTCATGGAGAGACACGTCAACGCATTCATGCTGTTGAAGATCACAGATTGTGGAGAGGCATGATTGCCCACGCCAGTCGACGAGCCACCTAATGATGATGATGATTCACAATTGTATTTTCGGTAATACCAGTAGTTGTAGGCTTTGTGACGCAGAGGTTAGTGAGCGCATTTCACAACCTTCGAAGTACAATGACTACCGGTGGGGTGGTTTAGAAAAGACAGTTCTGGTGACTTTCGGATAGTGGTAAGAGAGTCGCACCGTGTAAGATAAGATGCAATAGTATCAAATACATTTGTGGATACA